GAAAAAAGAAGGCGAATATGTTGGACTACAAGTTGAAATAAAGGAGAGGTTATCTTGCCCTATGGCTGCATTCTTTGCATTCATCGCAGTATCTTATCTTTGGCTGTAGTCAGTCTAGAAGCCTAGGCAATATGTTTACATGATAAATTTATTACCTAATTGAGAGAAAAATGAAGAAAACTGCGCACAAGAAATTTTGAATCTTGGTGAACAGCAATAACAAACAATAAACAGCAGAAACTTGTTTCAACAGAAATTTGAGTTGTTTGTAGAAAATCATCACAAATATTTGGTAGAGCAAAATGCTTTATATTATTTCTGATTAATATAGCCGAACCGCCGCGAGCCCTGCCACTTGGATGATTTGAATTATAAGTAGTGTAGTTATAAATTTTAAAGTAGGTTTTTTCTGTGAAGTGTGATTCTGAGATTAATAAGATATCTATTAAGTTAAATTTTAAAAAACATTCTACTTCACATTTTTGTGAGGTAATAAACCGTTGGCATTCCATTCAGCAATTTTAATTATTTTTGCCGTTGCTTATGTTGTTGACTAACGTGGATAACATATTTATTATAATAGAGTTCTGTAGCATAAGCTGATTGAAGATATTTTTAAATTCCAAAATTAATGTTGCTAGAGTATCAGATTCGAGATTTGAAGGTGAATCATTAGAAGCAGAATAATTGTTTTTTGCAATGTCTCAATAGGATGAGTTATGAAGTGTTGGCTTCAAGGCCGGAAAAATGTTGTTTAGATTAATTTACTGCAGTTTTATTTCTTTGTTTTTTAACTTTTTGGAAGTAAGTGCAACCGCGATAATTTGCTGGATGAGCGCCGTCGCCAAAATAACAACATGCCGGAGCATTCGGATCTTTCATAAAAATGGACGTATCAACAGTAAATTACAAGAAAACGGCCCGCCGATCTTCAGCCAATGTTTGTTCCCTTAATTAAAGCAGATTCAGTTGATAAATGGTTCAAAAACTTTTTCCATCTAATTTAAAGTATATTTTTGCCCTCAGCCCTAAATTTTTCCTTCCTCCTTCTAAATCAAAATTTATTTTTTTAGTAATTTGGAGATTGGTATTAGGAAATTAAAAGAGATTGAAAGAGAAACTAAGTTTAGGTCAACCGCTTGTAATTATCTTTTATCTTTTATTAAAAAAAATAACTCTAACGTTTGTTATTTCCCCTTACATTTGGAAGTTGTAACAGATCTTAAATTATGTAAAAAGTTTTTGAATGATAACCGTGATATTTTAGTCATTAAAGCTGATGAGGGAAACTTTACAGTTGCGATTGGCAGGTCTGATTATTTTTCAAAAACTTATGATTTATTAGATGACGGTAATTTTTATAAACCTCTAGTTAATGACCTCACAGATCACTTGAATAGAAAAACACACAAACTTATCAGTACTTTAATTTCTAACAAACAAATCTCCAAATCTTTAGGTTTTTGTCTTAAAGTTCTCCATCCTAGCTCCTCAAAACTTTACTGTCTTTTTAAGATTCACAAACCAAATTTACTTTTTAGACCTATCGTTTCTGACATAAATTCTCCTTTAGGCAAACTCTCAAAATATATGAGCTCTATGCTTTCTTCCAAATTTAATATTTCGAATTCTTTTAATTTAGCTAAAATTTTTAACAATTCTGAAATCCCTGCCAACTTTTCTTTTGCCACTTTTGGCGTCATTTCCCTTTTTACCAATATTCCTTGGGATCTTGCTATAGAAGCAGTCACTGACCGTTGGAATGACATCCAACCACACACATCTATTGACTTGATTTGGTTTGAAACTATATTAAATTTCATTTTTGAAAATACTTATTTTTTTTAACGATAATTTTTTTTGTAGATTTTTGGTTTGCCCATGGGTTTTTTTATTAGCCTTCACGTGGCCGATTTAATATAACTTACCCTACGGGAATTATAGTAATCGCAAAAAAATCGAAAATGAAATTTTGTATATATCTTTACGTTTCAAAACCTTCTGAACATTTTGGCATACCTGGCGGTCAAAAATCATCATTAGACATATGCACATCAAATTATCAGATATTTTATAGAGATTTTAACAATTAGTATAAATTTTGTTTACATTCCTATGGGTTACGTACCAATGTTTATCCGTTAGACTGCGACGCGTCGCTTACGCGCTTCGATATTTCGTCTCTATGCAGTTAAAGCAGTACGATTGCTTTGAAAAAAAGTTCAGAATTTCCAAAATATTTCAAAATAGAGAAAACATTTTTTTTCGAAGTCTTTTTTTTTCAAAAAAAAGTAAATTTTTGTCAAAAATTTATAGTTTCTCAAAAATCTAATTTTTTCAAAGTAAATCTTTTCTAAAAAAAATAATTTTTGGTACGGAAAGTTCTAGCAATTTGCCTTAGGCACGATGTCATGCCCCACTAGTAGAAAACTTTATTTTGATTAATCTTCCCATTCAGCCTTACTAACTACCCGTAGGGCAAGTAATAGCAATCGCAAGAAAATCGAAAGTAAACATTTTTATATATCTTTACGTTTCAAAGGTTTCTTAATATTTTGGCATAACGTAGAAAAAATGGATGTATGTGTGTGTGTATGTGTGTGTGTATGTGTGTGCATGTGTGTGTGCGGATACAAATTTTCGTCGACGATTTCGGGGACACCGATCATCCGATTTGAATAATTCAAAAAACATTCGATTTGTATTGATAAGGAGACGTGCTGATTAGTTCTTGGCAAAGGCAGGTATAGCCGTTCCGAAGATACGGGGCAAAAAGTGCCAAAAACGGTAACTCAGTTTTTAAGAGAACGACGCTTCCGATTTTAATAATTCAAAAAACATTTTACTTGCATTGACAAGATAAGGAACTGATTAAATTTTTGGGAAGGCAGGTTCAGCGGTTGTTGACTCTTGATAAAAATAAGTGTAAAAATTGCTATTTGGTGGTCAAAAATGTTTATTAGACATATATACATCAAATTATCAGATATTTTATAGAGATTTTAATAATGTGTACACATTTTGTGTAATTTTTTTGGGTTCCGTACTAAGATTTTTAATTACGGTACGGGAAGTTCCAGCAATTTGTCTTAAGGCACGATGCCATGCGCCCCACTAGTTTCTGCTATAGATATGTTGATGGCATCCTCTTGTGTTTAGATAAGGATTATGTATCTCACACTTTAAATTCGAATAATAAGCATCTGCAGTTCACTTGTGAACTCAAAGTTAATACCTCTATTAGTTTCCTAGACTTAAAAATTATCAGAAACAATAATGTCATCCTCACTGACTGGCTCCAAAAGCCAACTTGGTCAGAACGATATTTAAATTATTTTTCCTATCACTCTCGATCTATCAAAATTTCAGTTATTATTTCTTTAATAGACAGGGCCATTTTGTTAAGTAATGAGACTTTTTGGGAAAAAAACCTAACTTTAATTCGTTCTGTTCTGAATAATAATTCTTATCCGCCATAATAAATCCGTCAGTTAAAATATCATTAAAAATAGATTATCGTTTTTACATAAAAATTTAAACAGTTCTTCATACCTCAACAATCCTTTTTCAAAATCAAATTCTTTCTCTTTAGATAAATATAATGTTATTTGTTTAGCTTTCTTAAGCAATTTTTCTAATTTTTTTAAAAAAAAGTTATTTGCCGCTGAAGATTTTCTTTTATTTCGACACTTTCAGCTGCTTTTTTCTGCTCTTAAATCAAAAACTCCCGCTGATAGTCAATAGTTGTTACATTGCAATAGTTGTTACATTGGGGAAAGGTTCAAATATATACACAAGAGGGTTAATCAACACACACACATATATATATATATATATATATATATATATATATATATATATATATATATATTTAGAAACCCAAACCAATTCAAAACTATGCTATCAGAACATACGATTAACCTGAACCATATTTTCAACATGTCCAATCCTACCATCCTATATATTGAAAAGAATTGTGACCTTAGAAAGATAGTTACTTATATCCCTTAATACTTCTTATGTCAACAAACGGAATTTCTATCACCTTTTACATGACATTTACAAAGTCCTTCTAAATTTAATGAAAAGTAATTCTTTACAGTGTTAGAATCTTTCGGTCGTTATATCTCTTCTCTGTTGCTCATTCCTCTTTTGTTTCTTACACCCCGCATCCACTCACTTTACCTCACGTGCCGCTTAATGTTGAATTCAGTTGTGTTACAATACAACACGCAATACAGGAGGGCAATATGTGCTCCTTTAATTTCTCTTTTTATCAATTATTATTAGTTATGATGTTCTTTTGCATAAGTTTAGTGCTTAATAAATTTACATATTTTTTTTGTGTTTTTCCTCGTTTGGTATGTATATGATTTTCTCATTTTTCAATTTTTATATTTAGTATCAACTATTGTTATTTATGTAATATGTCTTTTTGGATTACTGAGAAGGGCAGGATGTTGCTTCTGTAATTTCTCTTTTTATTAATTATTATTAGTTATGATGTTTCTTTGCATAAGTTTAGAGTTTAATAAATTTATATAATTTTTTTGTTTTTTCCTGGATTGATTACTGAATGATGATACACATTAAGTGTCGAAACGTTTAATAGAATTATTTTTTTTCTATTTTAATCTTTTTTAATTCGACTATTGTGCTGCAAAATACTTGAAATATGTATCAACGTCGACTTAACTATCATCGTATACACACACACACACACACACATATATATATATATATATATATATACATATACTTTTTTGAAATCCGACCCGTTAACATTTGCACGATATCAAATGTTTCGCATTTTGATCTTGTAATTCTGAAACGCTTAGTCTTTTATTTTGAAAAACGAAGGCTTTTTATCTTTTCATATATCCTTAATTTCCTATGTCAGATGCTTTATTAGCTTACTCTACGAGTAATTAAAGGAATAATATAAAATTCAATTAATAGTCAATTCAAATAATAAAATTAATATTTTATATATTTTGTAGGAAAAAATATGACAATTTAGCACATGCTTTAAGAATACGAGCTGTGAGTGCACTTAGTTAACTGTGAAGTCTAAAATTGAATATTAAACATAACTGAAAACCAACATAGAAAATGAGCGACTGTTTCTTGATTGCTGATCAATACTTTTCAAAGTAATTATATACTTTTTTACTTACAATTAGTTATTTAAAATCAATTTGTTACATTAATTTTCGTATCTCATAACTTTTTATTATCATATATTTTCAATTTGAATCTTAATTTTATCTGTGGTGTTTAAGATGTTAATTGCTATTTATCGATCATTACTTAAAGAAATATACTTATTTAAAATACGATTGTATGTTTTTCACGTGTATTTGTGCATGCAATTTTCTTTTTGTGGGAGCTAGTTTCTGCATGCTTACCTGTTTCTGGCTTAGTAATCAAAATGGTGAAGTTTTTCATATATATTTTTTTATTATTAAACATTAAGCATTAATAATACATTTCTGACATTTCTGAATCAGGTCAGATTCGATGTCACTTCATTCCACATCGGCAAAATTGATTGTGGAAAATCCTTTATGGGAGCAAAATACGTTCGTTGGTCGGTTCCGTCACTTCTTATGGATGACCGATTGGCGATCCTGTTTTGCTTCAGAACGTGATCTCGATAAAGCAGAAGAATTGATAAAAAAATGCAAGTAAGTTTTTTGATATCAATATATTAAGGTTCTTTTTGTTATTATTATATATTGTGATTGATTGATTAAGTTTAGTTTATTTACGTTTTAAAAAATAAGAATAATGTTCATATATATATATATATATATATATATAGATGATAATAATAATAATAATAATAGTTCTTAATTTATAATAATAATATCATTTTACTTTAGACGCGGTGAAGGATGCGGTGATGCGACAAGGTGCGACTTGATTTACGCGAAGAAGCTATATGAATCAGCCTTCCACCCGGACACTGGAGAAAAACAAAATCTTTTTGGACGCATGTCATTTCAAGTGCCCGGAGGAATGGCCATTACCGGTGCCATGCTACAATTCTATAGGTAAAATTTATAAACATACGTGCATGCACAATTAAATAGCAGCAATTATTTTTTTCTTCCAAGTTATTGTAATGATCCAAAAATCGAAATTGAAGTGTATGTGTGTATGTGTGTATGTATATAAGAATACAATTTTTCGTCTACGTTTTTGGACGCACGGATCAACCGATTTGAATGGTTCATAAAACATTCGATTTCTATTGATAGGGAGATGTGCTGATTAGTTTTTGGCAACGACAGGTCCAGCCATTTCGGAAATAGAGAAAATAGAAATCGAGCTTTTGAGAGAACGGAGGATCCTATTTGAATTATCCAAAAAACATGCAATTTGTAATTATAGGGAGGGAGAAGTAGTCATTCGTTTTTAGCAAGGACAGGTCCAGCCGTTTCGACAATAAAGAGTTAAATGTGCAAAAATAGCAGTTTGTCAGAGAACTAAACCTCTGATTTGAATGATTCAAAAAACTTTCTGCTTGTGTTGATGAAATAATTGCTTTTGGAAAAAGAAAAAAAATCTAATTTGAAAAAAAATTTTTTTTTGAATATCTCAAATAATTCGGATTTATAATAATCTATTTGAAAACATTTAGAATTCTTCGAATATTTTATTACGGTAAGTTCCAGCAGTTTGCTTTAAAGCACAATGGCATACACCACTAGTTGAAATTATTAATATCTCGATTAACTTTCTAAACTTATAGAACATATTAGATACTATCAAATTATGTAGTATCGTACAAAAGTCGTATATACCGATTGACCGAGCAATGATGATGGCTATTTTGCTTGATCAAAAACGTTGCAATTGAAAATAGAACATTCTTAATATGTAATGCGAAATTTTCCTTTTACTTATTTCTATTTTATATTGACATTTTATTTAAATACATTGAATTTGAATTTTACGATTTTTATTTCTTACATTTGCATGTGTAGTTTTTCAATTTGTTTTTATTGTTTATTAACCTTGTAATCTGGTACATTGACAAAATTTGAATAATTGTATTTATCTGATCATTCACATCGGTTGGTTCGTGCTCTCGAAAAGGTCATCGAAAAATTGTATTCGCACATTCTAAACGTAAAGATATATAAAAATTTTCATTTTCATTTTTACGATTACTATAACTTATATATCCTACGGGAAAAATAATAAATATGATCAGTATTAAAAAGACAATAAATTATGAAAATAATTGTAAAGAAGAAAACTGAAAACGGAAATATTGAAATACTTTTGAGTAGGAGAAGGGGAGGAATGAGAAAAAAAAACATATTATAACGTATTATTTTTTTTTTGAATATCTGGTAATACTTTCAGAGAAACTTATTGCGTCACCCTTCAGAAGTCTTTGAGAGCCCATCATATGGTTTACATCAAAATTTTTTGTCTATACGTACAACAAATAATCACTAATAAAATATGACACATAATATGTTTTTCTCATAACATTTGTATATAAATCAAATTAAAACTTATAGATTTATATAAAATATAGATAATATTTATTGTTTAACAGAACTAATACAGCGGTAGTGTTCTGGCAATGGGTAAATCAATCCTTCAATGCTCTGGTGAACTACACAAACAGGAATGCAAATTCTCCTGTCAGTACTGTTCAGCTAGGTGTCGCTTACGTGACAGCGACTACATCCGCACTTATAACAGCTTTGGGTTGTAAATCATATTGGCAGAAAAATGCTTCTCCCTTTATGCAGGTATGTTATTCTTAGTATTTTTTGCGCTACTGAAAACCTACGAAGGTCCATTCAAAGTTGGTTCATCTATATATTTTTGGAGAAGGTACAAATCTTAGTAGAATTAATTTGCCAACTACTCCAGAATATTATTTTTGTTTAACTACGTGCAAAAAATCAAACAATTGTACAACAAAATAAACAATTTGCGAGTTTGTAGAAACGTACATTTCCAGATTTGAATGTTTGTATGTGACAACTAATTAACCATTCAAAAATTTGATAGTCCAATTTTTGAATGGTTTGTCTGTTTTGGAAAAATCGTAGAAAAATGAAAAATTTTTCGTCCGCATTTTAGCCCAAAATTCTGAATCGATTTTATAAATTCAAAAACCATTTGAAAAATAATAATTGGGAAATCAACCTGATTGGTTTTTGGTAAAGATTTGCTGGAATTTTTCCCGACGATTTTCATGAAATTTTTTTGGCGATAAATATCATGGTCCCCTAGAACATGCTAAAATATTACCTTTAAAAATTCGCCAAAGCAATAGCTACAGCATCAACAGCGGAAATTAATTGATAGAGCTAAAAAGCATACATCATACGTACGACACAGAATAAATTAAACAAGAAATTGAGAAACTAAACAATAGGGTAAGAAATATTATATTAATGTCAAGCAATACAAAACAAAGCGCCCGCTTCATATGTTTTTATTTACCTTCAGCCGACTAACACCAACAACAAAGTATACAATTTAACCAAACTACTCAATAATATAGTAGTGGTAGAGTCAAAAGAAATTAGCCAATGTACAAAATGTTAATTATTTGTCACACAAAATTGTAAGAGGCTTTTCGTATTTGTGAATAGCAGTGGGCCTCACATTTCTTCTGCATGTGAAAAATCTAAAAATCGGTTATTTGCGCGCATTGTGGTGACAACCATCCTGCAAAATACAGAGGATGTTTAAAATATAAGTCCATGTTTAAAGACAGTAGAAGAAATGTTTTCAATGCCAATCCAGACACCCAGCCACTTGACTAATAATAATTCATCATCACAACACTCATTACGAGCAAATATTTTGGAACATCGAAGCTATTTTAAAACCCTTAGCTTAGAGCATAGCTAAACAACGCATGCGATACGCAGCAATGAAACACCTTACAAGAAATACTCAATGCTTTTAAGACATGTTCAAACAGCTAATAGAACAAAATACAATGATAGTAAACATACTAACTATGCTATTTAATAAAAATTATGGCTAATTCTTTGAAAACTGCCGATTGGAATGCCAATGGCATTCTTAATCGTCGAAATGCAATAATAACTTTCCTGAAATTATAGTTTATCGACATACTTATCATAAGCGAAAATCACTTAACTGATTTATTGTCATTTAAAATACCACAGTACAATTTCATTCTAAAATCGAACATAATAAAGTTAAGAGATAATAGTTTTACTGAATATATCATGACCATAAACCGATATGATAATTCAATATGGACGCTAATTAAAAACGTCAGAAAACCTACAACGTTTAACTCACCGATAAGACAATCATCCAATAGAGACCTTGGTCCAGGAGCGATCAGGAAAAGAAGATTTGCAAAGTACCTTAGAACTATATTTAAACCAAATAATAACATCCCTGATCTAAAAGTAGATACTATACCTGAAGATTTGGTAGACACTTTTGAAAGAATTAAACTAATAACACCGAAGGAAATTAAATCCGAGATCTTGTCTTTGAAAAACAAAAGTGTGCAGGTATAGACAACCAAAACAGATTTTTTAAGGAGTTGTCCAAAAAAGCGATTGTGATAATTACATACGTCTTCAATGCGGCCTTAAGAATTGGTCACTGGCCAAAAACTTCAAACCATCTGAAATTATTATGATTCCAAAGCCCGGAAACTTAGATAACTCCTACAGACCAATTAGTTTACAACCATATAGTTCATAATGCTAGAAAGACTACTAGTAGCAAGAGTAACAGAAAAGCTTACCGTCATACAAGATCATCAATTCGGATTTAGGAGAGAGCACTCGATCATCCAACAATGTCACAGAATGACTACGGAAATTTGCCAAGCATTTGAGGACAATAAATACTGATCCGCAGTTTTAATTGACATTAAACAGGCATTTGATAAAGTTTGGCACAATAGTCTATTATTTAAAATGAAAAATTGTTTGCGGGGCATATATCATATGCTAATCAAGTCATACTCAACCAACAGATCATTTAGAAGTAGGTAGCGCTGTTTCACAATTCTACGATATAAACTCCGGAGTGCCACAGAGAAGCTTAGTGGGACTCTTATTATTTACCCTCTACACACATGACATTGCGACTAATCGGAACATTTGCTGACGACACCATAATCATGGCAACTCACGAGGACCCTATAATAGCATCGCTAAATTACAAGAACATCTTTTCCAATTGGAGCTCTGGCTCAAAAAATGGAAAATTGATATAAATGAAAACAAATCGAAACACATTACATACGCTACAAGAAGTCAAAATTGTCCAGAAGTTTCTATGAATGGAATCAAAATCCCTACATGCCGTAATATAAAATACCTGGTAATGAAATTAGATCGTCGATTAACATGGAAACTACATATTAAGGACAAGTGCAAAGACATAAAAGCCAGATTTAAACAAATATATTGGATGATAGGAAGAAGGGCAAAAATGTCGCTTGAGAACAAACTATTGATTTATAAGACTGTTATAATACCGATTTGGACATAGGAAATACAGCTGTGTGGGTGTGCAAGCGCATCGAACATTAAGGGGTTAGGGGTACTTGGAATTTTCGAAAAATCGATTTCGGTTTTGTCAAGTCCGATTTAAGTCAAGTACCTTTGAAACTTAAAGATATATAAAAATTATCATTTTCGATTTTTGGCGATTACTAAACCTACGGGAAGTTAATAAGTATAAATATAAATATAAAGTATAAATATAAGTATAAGTATAAATATAAATATAAACTAATTAGTATTTTGCCTTAAGGGGGTCTCCTCATCAGTATGTTCCAAAAAATCGATTTTTTTATTTTTGCTTCAATCGTTAGATTAATTATTTAAGAATATTCTTGCAAAGTTTGAGAGTCCAACTCAAACTAGTTTAGGATTTACAGGTCCGAGTAGAGTAGCGCGTGGGGCAAGCGCGAATCAAGCCGCGCAACTTTAAAGCTTATTTTCCGAAAACCGATTTTTGTAAAATTCCGTGCACGATTAAAAATGAACCATAAAAGCTACATATACAAGTAAGACACCGTTTTTTAGATAATTTTATTGTCCATAGATTGAACTAAAAACATGTATTGAAATTTTCATTTTACAATGTTGTTAACGCATTACTCCTTAAAAAGCCCTAAAAAAACAGTTACTTTTTTTAAAAAATGTTAAAATTTTAAATTTCAACTTTGAACCACCATAATAGTCTATGATGTGCAGAAAAACCTTCTGAATAAAGAAGTATTTCCATTTTTAGTTTCAGATAAAAATTACGGGCTATACCTTGCACGGAGTTTGAGTTGTCAATCGCGAGCTGCTGCGCAAGATTGTTTATAAATCAGCCATTTTTATTTATTTTGACATACAATAAATTTTATTTTGTTGAATAAATACGTGTTCAAAACTATGCAAAAGATCTTTTGTTTCTCTTGTTGTTTTCATGTTCAAAAAAAATACTGAAAAATCCCTTTTTTTGTAAGCTACTGATGAGGAGACCCCCTTAAGGCAAGTTACATGAACTTTCCGATATGTGTAAATAATCGACTTAATCCATGATGAATAAATTAATTTATGAGTGGTTAAAAGTATTCGAATTGAATTTATTACACATGATTGAAAATCGAACACGTTTACCCGGTCGAATTTTTTTCTAAAAGCAAATCAATAATTTTTATAATTGAACCAGTTTTGTAGGACTTTAATGGTTTAGTATGTTAAGACCAAGTACTCTATCGTCATACCAAGTAAATCGTCTAAATTTAATTTTAACAAACGTCAAAAAAACTACTCATTTTCTCAAACTTTGATGTATATTTACAATTAAACTACTTGTGGTAAGGCCGTAATATTTCTGTAAGACCATGATATATATCGCAAAAAAAAGTTTTATGAAAATTGGCTTAAATTTTTTTTCAACAGTTAATTACAAGAAAACGGCTCGGTAGATTTTCACATAAAACTAATCAAGATCATTTCCAACTAATATCTTTCGAATAGTTTTCGATTTTTTAAAATCGATTTGGTAGTATGAGCTTAAATGTGGACGGAAAGTTTAACGCTTTTTTCCGAATTACAAAGAAACGGCTCGACAGATTGTCACTGTCAAACGATAGCCCTCATTGAGATACATCAAATGGCTTTTAAATTTCTGAAATCGGTTCAAGTTCAGGCGTTTTTGAGAAAACTTCGATCAAAGGTCTAATTTTGACAAATGCCAACAAAACATTTAAACGTTTAATTTTTAAAATTAAACGACCGTAATATTTTAGTATGATCTTTAAGTCTATGGCATCTACCATAAAAAAAATTCATAAAAATCGTCTAAAATAATTTTTTTAACACCTTATTACAAGAAAGCGGCCCGGCCGATTTTTACCAAAAACTTATCAGCACCCAACTAATAACTTTCGAACAAAACTGACAAACAATAATCCTTATCGAGATACATCGAATAGCTTTTAAAATTCATGGCAAAAAATCTGTTCACACACACACATACTTTTTCCAAATTTGGTCTCATTCGATTCAGAATGGCTTGAAACGTCGAGAAAACATAAAATTAGCGAATCGGATTTTTTTATGAAAATAAACTTCTCCTTCGGAAAGCTAAATATAAATATAAGTATGTACCATAGCTGAATGCCACATAGACTTGTTTGAATACACACTTGTATATCAAAAATCAATTATTCGCCGATAATTTAGAACGCGTATTTAGTCACCCATAATATTTTTCAAATAAAGTGGATAAAAAGATACTTCCTTGAAGTGCCTCAGAAAGGATTAATCTTTTGACGCATTCCTTGTTATTTACGCCGACATAAAATTATCTACTTTCTAGATAGGATTTAACTATTAAAAGTAGTGGCTTTGTTAAACAACGTTTTAGTTTCTACAGATAAGTGCCAAACATTATAGAAAGCTGATTTATGACCAGAAACACTGCATTTCGATTTATTATGCAATTTTTTCGAATGCAGGTTCATTTATTGCATTTACTACGCGGTGAGATTGTTCGATGGTGGAGTGTTAGTTGTGTAAGCCAAACTTATGATTTGGAATTACATTTTGATTCATCAATTCCGACTTAAGTTCGTTACTCTACGTTGTAGAAGTGATTTTTCAAAAATCTTAGAATTTCAAGAAAGTAAGCTAATTGATTTATAAGAAGATATAAATAAGAAGATTTCCCTGATTGTTTTATTGAAATATTTTTGCTAAATTCAAAGACCAAGGAAAAACTTTTAGTTTGATAATTGCGTTAAATATTATTCTTAAAAATCTAATTGCCTTTTTTTATTACTAATATTGCAATTGCCAGGATATGGCTATATTACAAAAAATAGTTACTTATGTCTTGTGAATATATATTACTACACTACACTAGTCATCGGTTTATTAATTTTAATGGAAATATTACATTGTCTTAGAGATACGTTCCTTTTGCCGCAGTAGCAGCTGCTAATTGCGTTAATATTCCGATGATGCGCCAAACAGAATTATTAGCAGGAATAGACGTTGTAGATAGTGAAGGCCGCATTATAGGTGAGTTATTATATAATACTTAATTAAGATTAATTAGTTTTAGTTTAAACATACTGCTAACTATTATCAATATAACTTTGAGATGCTGTACCATTGAATAATGTGATTTTTAAGGTTTTCAAGGTTTCTGAACATTTTAGCAATCATAGAAAAAATTGACGTGTTTTTTTTTGTATAGCGAAGGAAAGCTTTTATGCATCCCAGACTGATGTTTTGTCTGGGTATGTCGAACTCAATTCCGACTCTTGCCCCTAGTCCCCACGGAAACCGCCGTTAGGCATTACTTCATGGGGGGGGGGATCTAGAATGTTTAATTCTTAACTTCATTTTATACTCATCTTTTAAATCGGCGAAGTCCCATTTTCCTTTTCTAGAACGCAAGTCAATTAGTAGGGTAGGGCGGGGCTAGTTGTGCAAATTTTTACTTAAACGGATGTAGCTCCTCAATGAAAAGTCTCAGTAAATTGCTATACGGGTTAATGAATTTGTTGTTCATCGCTTAACAAAAATGTTAATACTATTTTTTGGTAATAAGTAAAATTTAAAAGCTACAGCTGTTTAAATGCAAAAAGTCAAGTATGCTCAATGTACCCCATAGGTGGGGCAAGTTGAGCACTAAGAAAATTGAATGAAATCATAGGTTCAATGTCTATTAGTGATGAAATAAAATAAATTTTTAATAACCAGTTCTATATTTATAGTCTTTATTGACAGAAATACAAAACTTATAGTAATTTGCTTTGAATAATTAACGAAAAGTAGAATCAACAAAACAATATCGTATCTTACTAGTTATTTTACCATTATATTCAGTATTTTTGTTTAAAATCATTATTTCTTTATATTATTACTCATAGACTTAGCTTAAATCTTAAAAATAATAATTAAAAATAGAACAAGTTTAGCAACTATAACATATAAAAAAATAGAACAAGTTTAGCAACTATAACATATAAAAAAATAGAACAAGTTTAGCAACTATGCTTAACTAACCCCAACTCGGAATTTCAAAATAAAAGTGATTTTATAAAAAAAAACGTGAGAATTATACCCAGAATCTCTATGCATATTAGAAGTACTATAATTCTATAGAAGAATAACATTTACCTGATTAAAAACAAATAACATTTGACTAAACCAGACGAAAACTCGTGATGAATGACTTTTTTACTTTTTGGTCTCAAAGTAAACCAAACTCTCGTGAGCCTCACTCATTTGTCCAGCGGCCACTAGCGATCGCGGGATGATTATTTCTTCCAAACCTCTATCTTTCCGCCATATAATGCCTAAACGGGCGGTGAATAGTTTTCGAGATATTTCGATTGCTCAACTTGCATCTATGTTCAACTAGCCCCGCTCTACCCTCTCTCGCAAATCAGTCTATGGCGTTCCAAGCAGCTTCAGCTGTCAGCATCACTTCGACAACAGTACCTGGAGTAATTCTTCGCCTCAATATCTCTTCTACATCGTCCGGTGTAGAGCACCAAATCGCGGGCGAGCTATCGTGCTTGAAGCGGTGTAGGTAGGCTCGAAAACAGCCGTGCCCAGGTAGCATTTGCGTAGTGTAATAATCGACTTCTCCATGCTTGCGATTTAGCTAGACTTTGATGTATGGAATGTGACGATGCGTCTGTCTTTCACTGCGACATCCCACAGTTGCTGCCATCGGTCAATGCTGTTCTGCCGTTCTTCTATTTTTAACTTTTTAAGACTCAGTAGTTGATGTCTTCGATGGTAAATTGCACGTCTTTCCTCTGCTAAGACTGAGAGAGGCAGAGTTCCTGAAATGACGCACATTACTTCCTCTCATATTGTGCGAAATGCGCAAACAATTCTTAAAGCACTCAAATGCGCTTGAGAGCATCATTCCATATGGAGATACCACATGTAAGCACCAAAGTAACCATTTTTGATAGTAATATCCTTCTGGTTTGTTTAGGGCCTCCAATATTAGGCATCAGTCGAGCAGGTCCCGTCCTAACTATTGACGCCTTAGCACTAACGTGTTCTACCTGTCGATTGAAATTCGTTAGTATTAACTATTTAGACGATTCAAAGATTAAAATAAAATTAAAATAAAAAATAAAAAAATTATTCAAATATCTATTCAACATTTTTGATTAGTCACGAATTTTTAGGTTTTTACGTTTATACTATCATTCTGTGATTAATTATAGGCCGTTTCTATCGAATATATTCCAAAACTAGTGGTGTATGGCATCGTGCCTTAAGGCAAATTGCTGGAACTTCCCGTACCGTAACGAAATGTTCGAGGAATATTAAATGTTTTCAAATAGATTATTTCAAATACTGTAATATTGTCTAATATTTATAAGAATTGTATAAACTGAATCACATAGTGGAAAATTTTTATTTTAAGTATATAAGTGAGCTTCAAAACTTTAGCCAGAATTAAAATTAAAATTTGAATTATTTTTGATAAAAAAAAATTGAAACTAGTGGGGTGGGTGGCATCGTGCCTTAAGGCAAATTGCTGGAACTTTCCGTGCCGTAACGAAATGTTCGAGGAATACTGAATGTTTTCAAATAGATTATTATTAATATTGTAACATTGTCTAATATTTATAAGAATTATATAAACTGAATTGCAAAGTTGAAATTATTTGTTTAAAGTATATTAGAACTATAGTCAGAATTAAAAATAAAATCTGAATTATTTTCGATATACAAAAAATTTAAAAAAAAAAAAAAGTTGATACAATTTTTTTTTCAAAATCAATTATTTTGTTAAGACAAGCAGAAAGTTCTTTGAATCAATTAAATCGGACGCTTAGTTCTCTCAAAAACTACCATTTTTTGTACATTTAGCTCCGTATCTTCGAAATGGCTGGGCTTGCCTTTGCTAAAAACTAATAACCACTTCTCCCAATCATTACTAATTGAATGTTTTTTAGTTCATTCAAATCGGATGCTCCGTTCTCTCAAAAACTCGATTTCTATTTTCTGCACTCTTTGCTTTTTATCTCCGTAACTTATTTATTAGTTTTTCGCAAAGGCAGGCCCAGCCATTTCGAAGATATGGAGCAAAATTCACAAAAAATGGCAATTTTGAGAGAACTAAGCGTCCGATTTAATTGATTCAAAGAACTTTCTGCTTGTCTTAACAAAATAATTGATTTTGGAAAAAAAAATTTTTTTGTTTCAACTTTTTTTTTTTTTAATTTTTTGTATATCGAAAATAATTCAGATTTCATTTTTAATTACTACTATAGTTCTAATATACTTTAAACAAATAATTTCAACTTTGCAGTTCAGATTATATAATTCTTATAAATATTAGACAATGTTACATTATTTTAAATATTATATTTATAATGATCTATTTAAAAACATTCAGTATTACTCGAACATTTTGTTTCGATACGGGATGTTCCAGCAATTTGCCTTAAGGCACGATGCCACTTACCCCACTAGTTTCTTTCAAAAACCGTCATTTTTTGTCATTTAGCTCTGTATCTTCGAAATAGTTGCCTTTGCCAAAAACTGATCAGCACAACTCCCTATCAATAGGAATCGAATGTTTTTTGAACCATTCAAATCGGTTGATCCCTGCGCCCGAAAACGTGAACGAAAAAATGCGGACACGCAAAACTCACACACACACACATCCATATTTTCTGAGGTATGCCAAAATGTTCAGAAACCTTCAAAACGTGGAGAAATGCAAAAATTTTCATTTTCGGCCCATTACTATAAGAGTAATATAAGTTAATTAGGAAAGGAAGTTAATAAGAGAACATAAATACTTCACGATAACTTATTTCAGCACGTGGACTAATTTGCTCTAAAATATAACGCGAACGTTATGAATTGGATGTCGATATGTTTGTCACAGTGTTTCTTCATTTCAGTTAGAGAAATGGTAGTTTTCTTGATATTTGATTGCTTTTTGGTTTGTTTTCCCACAATTATTTTGTCACTTCCAACTATACATATAAAACATTTCTATAACTTTGAAAAATTAATATTTTAAGGAAAATCACGGTTAGCTGCTGCAAAAGGAATCAGTCAAGTTGTTTTATCAAGAATAGTAATGGCCGCGCCGGGAATGCTCGTTCTTCCGATTATTATGGAAAGATTAGAAAAATTTGATTGGATGAGAAGACTAAAAATATTACATGCACCTATGCAAGTTATGATGGTTGGATGTTTGTAAGCATATAAAATAAATGCAAAAAAGAAATAAATTGGATATTAATCAAAAATTATGAATACCTGTGATTGTATTGATTTGTTTAATTGAAAAATTTCAGCTTGACTGTCATGGTACCTACAGCATGTGCCCTCTTTCCTCAGCAATGGTTTGTATGATTGTATTGTATCTTATATACTTATTATATATTCTTATGATGTTATATGTTTTAGTTCTCTCAAAATTTCTACGATTGAGCGTTTTGAACCTGAATTTTATGCTGACATGAAATCGAATAACGACAAATTACCAGAATTAGTATATTTTAACAAAGGCTTGTAACAAAATGATAATGGTAGAATACATTGTTTCTAGTTACATGGTAAAACTATGTGTATGCACGAAAAAGACAATAATTTTCTTTAAAATCTTGATGATTATTTAAGTAAAGAAATGTAGAACAATAGATAATAATACATATATAAATAGAAAAGTAATAGCTTTTTAATATAGGACATGTACATGTAGAATGTAGAATACACAATAAGTCGAAGTATTGGCTAACGTGGGTGAAGTATTGTCATCAAGAACGAATAACATCGCAAACATTTGCACGATTGGACCGGTTTTGTAATATTATTTTTGTTTTAGTAGATTTTATATGAATTTTAAATTGAACTTTTTATTTCAAATTTATTTCAAGTTTTTGGGGTGAAAAGTGGAGAAAGTAAATACTAGAAAAAATGGATGTATGTATGTATGTGTATGTGCGTATGCGTTTGTATGTATGCTGTTTAGTTTCTGGCATAGCTGTTCCGGAGATACGGAACAAAAAGTGCAAAAAGAACCAGTTTTTAAGAGAACGGCACATTCGATTAGAATGATTCAAAAAACATTCGATTCGTATTAATTGAGTGAATAATTCATTACATTTTTGCGAGGACGGGTCTACAGGCATACATTGCTTGTGTCGAATGTCGATGGTTTGAGGAAATGAAGTGCTTATTTTATTTTCGTTTTTGTAGATGAACAATGGTCGTCGCCCAAATATAAGAACTTAATATTATATAGATTTATAAAATATGGCAATAAAATTTACAATATTTATAACAAATATTTCAAAATATTTACAACAATTGATATTATCCATTTATAAATTTTTATACATGATTGATTATATATTTTTTGCAAGTTTTTAATTACTGTACGGGAATTTCCATCAATTTGTCTATATTTAAGATTTACTTTCAAAAATAGCGAAAATGATTTATGAGATAAAGATACTATATAGTATTTTATCTGATCACACATGTGATCATGTCATGTATCTTCCTGCAAAGCAATGTTCAAAAGATACAATTTTATTTATTAAAGCATTTATTTATAGATTATATAATTTGTTTTGAAAATTAGTTAAGCTGTGAGCTGTGAAAATATGTAGCTTGTAGTCAGTTTTATTTTTGTTTTATTGTACATAAAAAACTATACACACGGTACATTCAGCTACTTTTCATGTATATTTTATTTGACAGCGTGAGAATTCTCAGGGATCGCTATCCTGCGATAGCACCTTCTCAGATATCTGTTTTGATGTAGTGAATCATTGCATATTCTTTTTTTTTTGAGACGCATTGGCGGTAAAGGCTTGAGCAGGTCACACGCTAATTGGTTTGGATGACGACTTAGACGAGCTTTGTATCTGGAGCAGTAATGGTTAATTTCTTGTTCTACAGCTGGAATTCGGAGATCTTGATGTATTAACCAGTTTGGAATATTTTGGAGTGTTCACGATTTTCTTCAAAATTTCGTTCTGGAACCTCTGTAGAATAGTTATGTTTGATTTACTGGCCGCACCCCATAGTTGTAGACCGTAGGACCATATTGATTTAATAATTATCTTGTATATTAGGAGTTTATTTTCTAATGAGACTTGTCATTTCCAGCCCATTAACCAACTAAATTTCCTAAGTGTTAGTTCGAGCTGCTGTCACTTCTTAAGTATATGTTCATGTGAGATAGAAAGTGGCATTACTAGTGCAGTAAACGGAGAGGAAAAAAGGGTATAACCTCTGAATTTTTTTACTGTGCTCCGAATTGAATGAAATTTTGGAATTAGGTTCATCTAACCCTCAAGTTCAAAAGTGAAAACAATTCGGGTTGCGCCATCACCCCCCGGGGGGCTGACACCCCTTCTCAATTGTGTAATTACATTTTTTTAAAATAACGTCGGAAATCGATAGAAGAACTAATTATAAGAAAAAAATGTCTTCTATAGTTTTTCAAAAAAACTAATACTTTTCAAGTTACTGTCCACTAAAGATTCATATATTTTTGGCGTTTTTCTTCGTTTTTTTGCAAATATCTCCTAAAGTATACATTTTAACGAAAATCATGTAATGAACAAAATAATGTCAATAAAAATCTTAATAAATCGGTATTAGATAAAGTGTTCTAGGAAAAATATTAAGCAAGATTTGAAAGAGCAAAGTCGTTTTTTATTTCGTTCAAGATTTAATTGTTGTATTTAAAGCCATCTAGTGTCGAGGTTTTACATCTTATGAATTTCGGTAAAATTGGGTTTTATAGTGCTCAACATAAGCTTTAAAATGAGTGCTGTTACAAGTTTTTTGCGTGTAAAATGAGTGAGCTATCATGCAAATAAGAAGCATATACGCAGTTTTTTTCTTTTAAATCATATGGTTTAATGAGCGCCATTTCCACCAGAATTAAAGTAATTCACATTCCATCTAGAAATCACTTCATTATAGACATCTTGATAGATTCTAGCAGATTCACTTCTTTAGTAAAAACTATTTTCAGAAAACTCACGATTTCATAAAAACTTTTTTTTTTCAATTTGCGCGGCCGCGCAGTCTTTAAACATGCATAACTCTGTCAATTTTTGTGTGAAAGAATAATAATAAAAAACAAAAATAATCCAGAAAGATCCCTTTGATTTTTATCTATATGCTTTTATACGTATCTTTTATTCTTTTTGAGATATAATGAAAATAATTTCAATTTTTAAAAAAATTGGAAAAAAAAGTTTTTATAAAATCGTGAATTTTCTGAAAATAGTTTGTACTAAAGTAGTGAATCTGCTAGAATCCATCAAGATGTCTATAATAAAGTGATTTCTAGATGGAATGTGAATTACTTTAATTCTGGTGGAAATGACGCTCATTAAACCATATGATTTAAAAGAAAAAAACTGCGTATATGCTTCTTATTTGCATGATAGCTCACTCATTTTACACGCAAAAAACTTGTAACAGCACTCATTTTAAAGCTTATGTTGAGCACTATAAAACCCAGTTTTACCGAAATTCATAAGATGTAAAACCTCGACACTAGATGGCTTTAAATACAACAATTAAATCTTGAACGAAATAAAAAACGACTTTGCTCTTTCAAATCTTGCTTAATATTTTTCCTAGAACACTTTATCTAATACCGATTTATTAAGATTTTTATTGACATTATTTTGTTCATTACGTGATTTTCGTTAAAATGTATACTTTAGGAGATATTTGCAAAAAAACGAAGAAAAACGCCAAAAATATATGAATCTTTAGTGGACAGTAACTTGAAAAGTATTAGTTTTTTTGAAAAACTATAGAAGACATTTTTTTCTTATAATTAGTTCTTCTATCGATTTCCGACGTTATTTTAAAAAAATGTAATTACACAATTGAGAAGGGGTGTCAGCCCCCCGGGGGGTGATGGCGCAACCCGAATTGTTTTCACTTTTGAACTTGAGGGTTAGATGAACCTAATTCCAAAATTTCATTCAATTCGGAGCACAGTAAAAAAATTCAGACCTAAAACGCTCCGTTTACTGCACTATACGCATTATGCCTTAAGGCAATTAATATTACAGTTTCAAACTTGTAGTAGCCAATGAAATCAGGGAATGATTTAACACTCTTAGGGCTTTTAAAATGTTGATATTAAGGGACCGATTCTGCCGCAATGTTATGATAAGTTCATGTTATGAAGAATTTTCCATAGTAATATAGACAAAAGTTACGCGGTTGGTGTTCAGTCAGGCGAATTTCTCAGGTTTTCTCATACAAAACATAACCTAAAAGCCGCACAAATGTCAAAAAAACGATGTTAGATAAGTGTGTGTTTCTGATTCCTCTTAGGTAAGATACGAGTGACGTTGCAGTTTATGTTTAAAACGCCGGAATGAACAGCAAATACATGATATTTTGACAGCATTCAGTATGATACATTCGCATAATGTATGGGGAGTCGGAGCGTAACATAGCCATTCCGTAACATTTCTCTGTTATGCGCAGAATCGGTCCATAAGTATATCTATTGCCGTCATATACGTTGCCGTCACTTTTTATTGATCTGATATTATAACATCACAAGGAATTATATGGTCAGATACATAGCAATGGTCAGATGCATAAACAGATGACTAGTATTTTTGCAACACTTTTAGTCTTATATCAAATATATTACTTGTTAACTTCCCGTAGGGTAAGTTATTGTAATGGGTCGAAAATAGAAATTGAAAATTTTTACATTTCTCGACGTTTTGAAGATTTCTAAACATTTTGGCATACCCAGGGCCGGTCCTACCTTGCATGCGAAAAATGCGGGTGCCAGCCTTAGGGGGCGCCAAAACAAGATTCGGAGATGAAATTTATAACTTTTTTTTTCAATATAAAATCAAGAATACTTAATAGATTATAATAATCTATCTAACTAATTAAAACGAAACTTGTTAAAAAATCAATACAAATTAAAATAGCAAAAATGGATAATGGGGAGTCAGTGCTTAGAAAATAGCTTATTTATTCCGAGAAATTGAATTGTAACTTTTGTTTTTATAGCAAAGGCTTCGCATCTAATACTTTGAATTTTGAAGCCATGGAAATGAAAAAAATATGCAAAGTGAAAGCAAAATTTATTTTGGAACAAAAATCTTTGACCTTTTTTATTCATAGTGGTGTTCATACTCTAAATTTGATTATTAACTATGCAGAAATAATATAGATACAAATATAAATATTTTGTTTTTTTGTTTCGATATAGTTCAATATGTAATTTTTGCATTTTTTACTAATCTTAGGACAATACTTTTAAAATACGTTAAAAACTTAACTTTCAAACAACAATCTGATACTCTGAATCTGATGGGAAAGTCAAGATGAATACAGTTCGGCCCATAGATAAATAAGCATAAAAATTTGGCCCTTACGATATCAATAAGTAGAAGTTTACGATGCAATTTTGGATATTGTAAATAATGAAAAGATAAATTAAATTAAATTTTAAAAAATCCAAAATGAAATATAAGTGTTATTTTTAAAAATTAAAGGCTAGTTTTTTTGCATACTAATATTTTTGCAATATCGCATACTAAATAAGTAGGTAAAATGTTTCAAAACCCAAATATTAATATTACACTTACGATAGAAATAAATTAAAATTTAAAAATATTTGATTATCATCAACCCGCAAATCGCTTCGATTTTCTGAATAATTTTAAACTCAATATATTTTATACGTTTTTAGATTATAATTTTAAGATTAATTTTTGTGTACTAAATCTAGATTATTAATAAAATTGAATAAAAAAAATTACGTTAATATTTATATAATTTTAAGTATAAATTATATTAAAACAGTTAAATTATTATGGGGGGGGGGGGTTAGATAAAAAATTGCATGAGGACGCTGAGGACCCCAGGACCGGCTCTGGGCATACCTCAGAAAAAATGGATGTGTGTGTATGTATGTATGGATACAAATTTCCAGTCACGTTTTCGGGCGCACGGATCAACCGATTTGAATGGTTTAAAAAACATTCGATTCCTATTGATAGGGAGATATGCTGATTAGTTTTTGGCAAAGGCAGGTCCAGCAGTTACGGAGATAAAGAACAAAGAGTGCAGAAAATAATAGATTTGAATGATCTAAAAAACATTCAATTAGTATAATGATTGCGAGAAATGTTTATTAGTTTTTGGCAAAGGCAGGCCCAGCCATTTCAAAGATACGGAGCTAAATGTGTAAAAATGGCAGTTTTTGAGAGAACTAAGCGTCCGATTTAAATGATTCAAAGAACTTTCTGCTTGTCTTAACAAAATAATTGATTTTGGAAAAAAATGTTTTTTTCGACTTTTTTTCAATTTTTTTTTTCTAAAAAAAATTGTTTGTATATCGAAAATAATTCAGATTTTATTTTTAATTCTGACTATAGTTATAATATACTTTAAATAAATAATTTCAACTTTGCAATTCAGTTTATATAATTCTTATAAATATTAGACAATGTTACAATATTAATAATAATCTATTTAAAAACATTCAGTATTCCTCGAACATTTCGTTACGGTACGGGAAGTTCCAGCAATTTGCCTTAAGGCACGATGCCATACACCCTACTAGTTTCCATTTCAGATCAGTTGTAAAAATTATTAGTTAAAGTTATAACTTTATAGTTTTCAGTTTATGCAATATATATGAAATAAAATCCTCATTTTTCTTACGTAATATTTTTTGTAGGTGAATTACGTAATATTTTTGTAATTATTTCGTAATATCGAATTACGTAATGTAGATTACATATTTCTTACACTAAAATTACGTAATATTACGTCACTTTCGCCGATTTCTTAAATACTGAATTTCCATTTGCCAAACTAAGCGGCAATATCAAAAATTATTTTCATTATCAATTATTAAATTTAAAATAATAATTTGTGCGTTTCTTTGTTTATCATTGGGCCGCAGGTTGTCCATGGCCGTTCTAAACATAGAAATATTTATGGAAATAATCATATATGGTATTTTATTTCTTTAAATTGAAAATAATAATTTGTGCGATTGTTGCTTGTCATGAGGCCGCACAAAAATCGTTATCGGGCCGCAGGTTGGACATGGCCGTTCTAAAGCTTTCAGAGCCATAGATAACAAGTAAGTTCAGAGCTTTATGCTTACTTATAGTTACTTATCTATGTTTCAGAGTCCAGAGAGCTTTTTCGACCGCGGCTCACTAGCGCCTGGTTGCCGACCCCGCTAAATTATCGCGGGTTTAGTTCTGAGTTGACATATTGACAATCAGACAACGTGCCATGATTTGTGTGACACAACAACTAGAGTTAACCTAATTTATTCACAGGCTTTGTTGTGATAAAAGATTTACATATTCTAATTTATTATAAATGTATTACGCTTATCTTGTGGGCAGGTTTCAGAACTTGTCAAATTGCTAATATAGTCAATATTAACAAAATATGGGAAAAACATCAAAAGATAAGCGTGATGTGTATTACAGATTAGCCAAAGAAGAGGGCTGGCGAGCAAGGAGTGCTTTTAAACTTCTGCAAATTGATGAGGAATTTAAAATTTTAAATGGTACTCTTTCATTAATTTATACATAATATTTTACGTTGACAATGCAAAAATTGTTTTAAATCAAACGTTATTTCTATTTTTTATTATCTATTCTTGTCTATAGTTATTTGAACTTTTGCTCTAAATTTACATTCGATTTAATGCTTTATAAATTATTTCTATTTAGAATTAGGACTTTGGATTAAGAAAAGTCTTAGTTCTTTATATCTTTTTTGCGAATATGAAAGATATTTTTAATGAATCAATCGATTGAATTTTAATTAAGTGCTATTCAGTTATTGTACACACACACACACACACATATATATATATATATATATATATATATTGTAGAGCTTTGAACAAAGCAAATGTAATAAAAAACAAAAAAGTTTTTTTTAAAAAAACATTTCTTTATTTATTTACTGTCAACGTTTTGGAACTAGGTACGTTCCATCTTCAGAACATTTTTTAAGAAACATGATTTTGATAAGATTTGAACAAACAATATATTTAAGAAAAGCAGAACAAGGTGGATTTTTTTCTACTCTTCTTAAAAATTTGGGAACACTTTTTGTTTAACTAAGGATAAACTAATCATCTTTTGTCAGAATTCTTGATACTGTATTTAATATGTAAGAATATCATAAGAACTAAGTTCTAAACGAATACATAAGATCATAATGTAAACAACCCGAGTAAGTTCTTTGCATCACAATATTAATGAATTTGGAAAGAAGTAAATTGAAAGAAAGAATTTAAATTTAATGTTTGATAAATGATAGTCAAAGTTCATTAATAAGATTATTATTAAAAAATTATAAATACAATTTATGTACAAGCCATAAGAAATATTAAAAAAAAATTAAGAAAATAATTTCATTTTTAACCATTTTATAACCAAAAACAAAAGCGTGGTCCACTTCTGTCCACCTTACTATACTTATGAAAAACTTTTTTTGAGCATGCATAAGAGTGGTTAACCACGATTTGATTATTTTTATATCCATTCTGAGATACGATATCTTTCACACGTAAATAGCTACATCTTTTATTTATTATTTATTTAGATGTTACAAGAGTTGTTGACTTATGTGCAGCTCCAGGTAGTTGGAGCCAGGTTTTATCAAAAAAATTATTGAAACAAGAATCTATGGAAAAGAGTAATGTGAAGATAGTTGCTGTCGATCTTCAAGCTATGGCACCTCTGCCTGGTGTTATTCAAATTCAAGGGGACATCACCAAAAGGAATACTGCTAATGAAATAATTAAACATTTTGAGGGTGGAAAAGCTGATTTAGTAGTATGTGATGGAGCACCAGATGGTAATATCTAAGTTATGTTTTATAAATATAAATTTATTGAGCTACAGTACTCTAATTTAATATCAAACTTCGAATCAAATAAAATTCAATCCAGCTCAAATGAAAAATCTATATTCTGACCCGAGTTTTTAAATAAGAGGAATAAAATTAATATTAAAATATTAATTGGAAATTTATTTGTATGAAAATCATTTATGGAACTTTAAGCTTGAAAAATTTAGTAACCACTGAAGAAAATGCAATTAATAAAGTTTCTTACTGTCTTTGTAGTATATTCATACACAAACAAGACAAAATTATAACTTGATTCAGTTTATTTTGATATGAATTTTATTTTATTTAAAAAAAAATTATACTGGTATAGGATACAAAATACAGTAAGTAACTTTGCTAAAGTAAAATTTTGCTAAAAATAGAGCAGATAATTCGAGGTGCGTATGATCTTCAAATTTATTTGCACATTTTTTAGATTTTTAGGAGTCCTGCCATAATCGGTCTGTTAAAAAATAAGTAAAATATGATGTATAAACTCTCAATTGAGGATTTGCTACATAAGCAGTATTTTGTGCAATATTCGAGTCTTATTATTTTTTTTTATAATATATCTTTATAATCTATTTCTATTTTCTTTATAACTTATTTAGAACTTTATTTATCATATAAACATGAAAATATTAGGGTATTAATATTTATTTAATTTTAGTTACCGGCATTCATGATATTGATGAATATATACAAGCTCAACTACTATTAGCCGCACTAAATATTACAACTCATATATTGAAATCTGGAGGTACATTTGTGGCAAAAATATTTAGAGGTAAAGATGTTACACTCTTATATTCCCAGCTGAGAATTTTCTTCACAAATGTTATTGTTTCAAAACCTAGAAGCTCTAGAAATTCAAGCATTGGTAAGTATATTTATTGTTTACATAATTTAAATGTTTATATTTAAGATCAAGTTATTATAGTTACTAATGCTACTAATAAAAAATTACGACCTATTTTATTCAAATGCCATTGAAATTGTTAAATTAACAGTAAAGTGAAACATTTAAAATTACTTGTCTAGTTTAATGTTACTTATAAAAAATGTCTAGTTGAATGTTATTTAAGTCAGTGTTACCTATATTATAATATATTCTATATTTTTACATATAATTTTACATAAAGAAGCTTTTTTATTAAAAAATGAAGGCTCAAGCTACTCCCACAAACAATATAAGTGTAAACATAATGTTTTGTGTAGAATACCAACTTTAATTTTTTTTTAAATCTGTTATTCATATTTAAATCATATAGCTATTATCAAATATTAATTTTCAATTGTGACACTGAATTTATATTTATATTAAAAAAAAACTATATAATTTTTGTTGTACTAGATCACATAGCCAAGTTATTATATTTTACAGAAGCTTTTGTAGTTTGTAAAAACTACTCACCTCATGAAGATTATATACCGACTATGGACAATCCTTTATTAGATCACATGTATGATGACAATAATCCACAAGTAGGTACCAACAGATTAGTCGTTCCATTCTTAGCTTGTGGAGATTTATGCCCATATGATTCTGATACTACATATCCATTACAGGTATGTTTTTCAGTTATATTATTTATTTGGTATGTTCATTTATTTCTATTTCTTTTTATAATTTATCACTATACATTACTCTTATAGTTTTCAAATTAAAATAATTTTAAATATTGGGTTACATTAGTTCAAAGTTCAAAGCTAATTCATTTGAATGATTCAAGAAACATTTGATTACTATTAATGATGAGATGTGCTAATTAGTTTTGGCAAGGGCAGGTCGAGCCGTTTCAGAGATAAAGTCCAAAAGTGCAAACTTTTGCTATTCAGTTTTTAAGACAAGGGGATTGTTCAAGTATTACGTAAGCAGATTTATTACAATTATTTACCCCCCCCCCTCGCCTTCATCAGCAAAAGTTCTTACCCAAAATAAGCAAAATAAGCAAATCAATAAATTTTAGAATTTTAGAAGTAATTTAGTGAAATTAGTAAAACATAAAGTATGAACAAGGGAAGGCAAAGGGTAGAGGCTAACTAATCAAACACTAATAATAATTATAATTTTATCCCAAAAATAAGCATAAAAGAATTGATAACATTTTTTGCATTTGCACTCGTCTTTTAATGAAACTTCAAGTTGTAACAAACCTTTTTAATACATTATAAGTTATAACAAATTTAGATAGCAATATCATTATCAATCATATACTTGTATCTTATCCATGGTCATCATAAAAGAACTCAAACTATATATAAATTTTTGAAATGGAAGGTTAACTGTGCATATTGTTTACTAGGCCAGATTCACTTTTAAATAGACAAATTTTATTCATTTAATATTTATTAGATGTTTTATTAATTCATTTTATCATTTTATTATTTTAAAGCAGGAAAATATTTATAGCATATGGTTATTAATTAATTCAAAAATATGTTTGCTTTTTTTCAGCTTAAAGATGGCGAGGAATATAAGTGTAGAGATCCAGTTCAGCCACCCATTTCGCCACCATATGCTGATTTCTTCAAGCTAAATTTAGGAAATGTTATGGTCAAAATGGGATCTAAAACGTTTTCTGAAGACAGTACTAATTAGTAATAACCTTTTATAAATATATCTTGTTATAAATGACTTATAAATTAATAATATTAACTATTTAATAATTAATACTCTTATTATTTTACTACCATGCATTTTAGTTCCAATTTATATAACTTATGAGACATTTTATCTCCCAACATGTCAAATAAAAATAAAGAACTAAAAAAATATTAGATTCATTGTTGGGACTACACGTGACTTAATTCAGCTAAAATACATAATGATTTCATATAGACATTTGAATACTGCAAATATAATATAAACTAGTGGTGCATGGCATTGTGTCTTAAGGCAAATTGCTGAAACTTCCCATACCGCAATGAAATATTAGAGGAATATTAAAAGATTTCAAATAGATTATTATAAATACTGAAACTTTCACTATTTGTATTTGAATGACAAAAGACAAGAGCTTATAAGTTGAACGACGACGTTTATATATGTTACATAAAAAGTAAATAAACAAAACTGGATCAAGCAGAGTATAAAGGTATCCCTTATTTTTAATAATTATGTGGACTGAATTGCAAAGTTTATTCTCTCAAAACTGCCATTTTTTCACTTTTAGCTTCTTCTCTCTGAAATAGCTGAGCCTGTTTTTGCCAAAAGCTAATCATCACGTCTTCTCATCATTACAATTTGAATGCTTTTTGAATCATTGAAATCGGATGCTCTATTTTCTTAAAAGCTCAATTTCTATTTTTGCACCTTTTGCTTCACTCTTTGCAGTTATAAAATTAACTATTTTAAATTTCTGCAAGTTGCATGAGCCTCCTGAAATGTGTAATAATTAGCTTAATCAACCAAAATAGAGATGTAAATATTTAGATAAAATTTTCGACTACATGATTACACATATCATGGACATAGCCCATGATATTGCTTAACGATTTAAATAAATGGTAATACTTTTTACCCAACTAGATTAGTTTTGTAAACTTATTCTTACGCTAATTCTAAAAAAAATGCCTTAAATTTGTGAATTCGCAAAAGCGACTTTTGGCACAAATTTTATATTTTTTCCAACTTTGATGATTTTTAAAAATTTAAAGACTTGTCATAGGTCCATAATATTATTTTAGTAAGTATTCTTTTTAGGACCATAAAGGCGGCTTTACACTGTATAGAAAACTCTAGGTAGAGTGTAGACTCTCTAGCTAGAGCGCTCTACCGTTGTCTGTACACTGTAAAGTGTTTTTTTCTTCCGAGACCACTTTCGTACTCTAGGAGAGGTGTAGGTGAGAGGTGCTAGAGCAACTCTACCTAGACACTCTAAAAAGCTATGTACACTTGTGGCTAAATATATTAATATATATTAATCTGAGACTTTACAACTAGACTATATAGAAATAAACTTTGTTTTTCAATCTAGTTCTTGTGAGACAATTGACAATTTTTGTCGTTTTGTATCTTTGATAATAAAGTTATCATGATGAGTTCCCGGCAGAAACAAGGTTTAGTTGCATTGGTGGTATATTGTTTAATTAAAAAAAGAAATAAGAAAGTAAAAAAAAAAATGTGTGTTAGGGAATGGATTGCCAAAAGTGAAGAAGAGGGAGTTCATGCAAAGATGTTAAAAGAACTCAAGTACCAAGACATAGCTTCTTGTGAAAATTTTATAAGAATGACCCATAAGGATTTTCAGCATTCAAGAATTGCAAGACAAGATACTCATCTAAGAAAATCAATATCATCATCTGAGCGGTTAACACTGACTTTGAGATTTCTTGCTACTGGTAAGTGGTATAAAACAATTATTTAAAAAAAATAATTCAAAAACATTTTTTGAACTATTTATTTATAAAAATTGTACCAATATTCATTGTAAATAAATTATATTATAGGTGACAGTTATCAGTCATTAAGCTATTTGTTTCGGATTCCGCCAACAACTATTTCTCGTATTGTTCCGGAGGTGTGTGATGTTCTGTACTTGGAATTGACAAATGATTATTTGAAGGTATGACAAAATGAACCAGAGTACTCACTCAAATTACTTGGAGAGTGAACTGGGGGAGGATACTTCTCGCATGTCGTCTTCCTCATTTGCGTCTAAAATAGCTCTCAGAATCTTGCGTTTTAATTTTTTTCGGATATCTTCCGAGCGTATTCCTCTCATCTCTGCAGTAACAAACTCTCCAAATACGTCCAATTGATCTTTCGGAGCTCGTAAACAAGTTAAAGCTTCATTCAGCAACTCATCATCCTTTTTAACTGAATCGGGTGCCCGTTTTGTTTTTTTATGAGATTTTGTAACAGAAGTCTGCCCAGACCCTCCTGAACCTGAAGGATGATTGTGTACTTCCTGCGGCGTCTGTGCGTAATCTGAATTATTATTTATTTCCTCATCATGGTCCTAAAAAAAATTAAAGTAATAAATGAAAATTAAATGTTTTGTTCTTTTTTTTACAGATTCCTTGTACATCAGAGGAGTTGGAAAATGAAGCACAGCAATTTGATGTTACCTGGAACTACCCAAATTGCATAGGAGCTATTGATGGAAAACATGTGGTAATGGATGCACCAGAAAAGATTCAGGAAGTCTATATTATAATTACAAGGGGACACATAGTATTGTATTAATGACTCTCGTTAATGCTGATTATAAATTTTTGTATATATATGTAGGTTGTCATGGGAGAGTGTCAGACGGGGGCGTATATGCAAATTGTTCACTATCCGCATGTTTGGAAAACAACTCTTTGAATATACCCGAAGCAAAGCCATTATCAAATGGCCAGTCAATTCCGGTGCCATATGTCATCGTTGCCGATGACGCTTATCTATTAAAAACTTACATAATGAAACCATTCCCTTTTAGAGACCAACCTATTGAAAATCGTGTTTTAAGCTGCTTGTGTGTTACATAATTATTTAATTGAAAAAAAGTCGACCAGATATGTTTCTGAAGATGCTTTTGACATGGAAGAAAATGGCAGGCTTATTCAAGGTTGTTGGCGAGATGACCCACTTCCACAAAATTCATTTTATCCATTGCAACAAACAGGCGCGAGAAATCCGACTTGCACAGCTAAGCAGGTACGCGAAAATTTTAAAACGTACTTCATGTCCAGAGTAGGTGAACTACCGTGGCAATATCAATATGTTTGATTTTTCTATTTATTAATTTTTAATTTATTTTGTTATATGAAGTCTTAAAATGTATCCTACAATAAAAATTTTAAATCACAATATGAATTAACTTTATTTACTTACCAGCACATCTATATTAATAACATCAGGAGCACTGCCAATTGAATCCTCTGTTGAATTTGTCTGGATATTCATAAACTTGACGGCCTCGAAAAACTCCCACTTCGGTTTATACCTTTCATCTGCACCCTGACCAGTTTGGAACTTTTTCATTTTTCTCAGATGCTCATTTAACTGGCATCTCAAATTATGAATTTTGTTTTTTACTATTTTAACACCCAAATTTAAAGACGTTGCTATTGTTTCCAGTGACTTACATTTCAGGTTTCGATTCCTATACTCCTTCAACCGGACATTCCACAATTCTGGATGAGCCTCTACCAATTCAATTAATTGAAACACTTTATTTTTCGTCCAAACAAACTTTTCGCACTGTTCTTCATCACATAGTGCTTCCATTTTCAAAAAAAAAAAATATTTCTTGGGAACACAAATAAACAAACCAGTGCAAAGCAAAACAAAAAAACTCTACGTATAGTACAGAAAAGTATACAACAAGTTGAATAATGCTAGAGGTACTAGCTACAGCGTGGAAGTTGTGCAGAGACACTGTGTACACTGCACTGAATATCATTTGTCTAGCGAGATTGTCTACGGAGAGCGCAGAGTGACTCTCGTCATATACTCTACATATACACTACTCTGGAAATATACACTACTCGTCATATACACTACTCTGGAAAGAAGAGTAGTGGACTCTCGCTAGAGTGCTCTAGTAGCTGTGTACACTATGGGACTCTACATAGAGCGCTACAGTGTATCGGCAAATCTACAGTGTATCGGCAAATCTACAGTGTATCGCACATAACAAGTTTTATCGAAAAAAATTTACAACAGTTAATTACGAAAAAACGGCTTGGCCGATCTTTGTCCAAAACTAATAGCACAATTCTCAAATAATATCTTTCGAGGAGTTTTTCAATTTTTAAAATCGATTCAGAATTTTTGACTAAAACGTGGACGAAGTTTTGTTTACTTTTTTCTTAATTACTAAGAAACGGCTCGACCGATCTAGTAAAGACATATTTTTACATCGATACATCAAATGGCTTTTAAATTTTTGAGATCGGTTCAGTTGTTTTTGAGAAATCCTCGTAACAAATTTATTCACACACACATACTTTTTCCAAATTTGGTCTCATCCGATTCTGAATAAAAACATAAAATTAGTGAACCGGATTTTTTTATCAAAACTAAACATAAACTCGGAGTTGAAAAAACTAGAAGTGTATATGGCATCGTGCCTTAAGCCAAATTGCTGGAAATTCCCGTAAAAAAGATTAAGTTTTTTTAAAAAGGATTCAAATTTTTTTTAGAGCTTCCCAAAAATTTTAAGGGTTCTTCATTTCGTCAATATAAATAAAATATTTTTTAAATTATTGAAATAGGACGCTCCGTTTTTGTCATAAGTTTACGTTTTTATAATACTAATCAGCACGTCTCCTTATGAATTAAAATCGAATGTTTTTTTGAATCACACACATACATCAATTTTTCCTAAGATATGCCAAAATGTTCAGAAATCTTTGAAACGTAAAGATATAAAAAAAAATCCATTTTTTACGGGATTAATAATTAAATTTTAAGATGAAAAACTTTTTTTCCCCCAAAAGCAATTGTTTTTCAAAAGCAGAAAGTTTTTCAAATCATTCAAATCGGATGATTAGTTCTCAAAAACTATTTTTTTTTCACATTTAGTTACGTATCACCAAAACGCCAGCCGTTACCTGCCTTCGCTAAAATCTAATCAGCACATTTCCCTGCGAGTAGGAATAGAATGTTTTTTTTAACCATTCAAATCGGTTGATGGAAAATGTTTACGAAAAAATGTATCCATACATAAATACATACACGTAGAGCTCACTTAAGGGGTTAGGGGTAATTGGAGGTACGAAAAAATGAGAATTTTCAATACTGTTTTTTTGTTAATAAACTATGCTTTTTACAAAAATATTAATACGGCATCATTTTACAATGTTTTGACTTGAGGTAACAAAAATTTCAGAAAAAAATAATAAATATTCCCAAAGTTATAGCTGTTTTTGTTGACCCTGTTTCAAAAAACAGTCCTGGCGGTGACCATCATAACTCCTTAGAGATTCATCTAAAATCAACCAAATAAAAAAAAAATAGTTTCATAAATAGATAATCCTGGGCCTGATCGAAGGTTTTCTTTTTTTTGCAAAAATTAACAAAATGGCAGCATCAGAAATAAAATTTCTAGATTTTTGAGTAAAAAATCAACAGTTAATTGGTCTTAAAAAATTAAAATTTTTGAAAAAATAGAAATCCTTCGATCAGGCCCGAGTTTATTATGTATTCTAAAAGCTGTATAAATTTCATTAAAATTTACTAAGCGGTTTTTGAGTTACAGTGGTCACCGGTTCAGAAAACATAGTTTTGAGAAAAGCGCGTTTAAAGTTTCGCATTGGATTTACGTACAGAAATTCGAATTATTGAATTACTTAAACCGAGTCATCTATTTCTGGGTCATATAATAGTTCATCAGTCATTGTGCAAGTTTCCAAAATTTCCATTTGCTGGTGCCTACGAAGCATTCTGGCCTCCCGTATGTTCTCGTTGGCGCGCTGATCTGCCACTTTCACACGTGCAGCATCCAATTTTTCAGCATACTAATGGGAATTATACCCTCAATTAGGTCCTAGGGTATCCATAATCAATAATAATGATTATGTATATGTATTCATCCATTTGTACGATAGTAAAACTAGTATTCACGGTTTTTAGGCATATTTTTTACACTAGTTAGTTGAAGCTTTTAATTTTTTCTGATTATGGATTCAATCTTGAACTACACATTTTGAAAGTAAATTATCATTGCTGAGATTGTCGTAAATTGGTTTAAAACCTTTAAAAACATCAGGATATGAGGGAGAATAATCTTGAGTATAAGTATCGAGCTCTCCACTTACTTCAGCGCGCTGGTAAGAGTCCAATAACTCAAAAAGTAATCATCGGATCAACTTGAAATTTTCAGAGAACATTTTAAAGATATTACACTTTATGAAAATGTAAAAAAATAAAAATCGATTTTTCAAAAATTCCAAGTATCCCTAACCCCTTAAGTGAGTTAAGTACAATTGTATAGTATATACTACAAATAAATAATTTTAACTTTGCAATATCATAGTTTGCACAATTCTCAGAAATATGAGATAAAATCTTTTATTTTAACTCTGGATCATTAACTTTTATTTATTTACTTTTCATGTCGTCGTCGACCATTTTATATTTATGTAAAATTATATTATAATTTGTCTATAAAATACGAATAACAAAAGTTTATAATAACCTATTTAAAGCATTTAATATTCTTCGAATATTTCATTACGGTACCGGAAGTGGCAGCAATTCGCCTTGAGACACGATACCAAGTTTATATACCCATACCCGTTTGTGAATTCAACAAGTTATTTGTTCTTTTTAACTTTTTAAATTCTTGCATTATTATAGTCATTCAAAAAAATTTAGTACAATTGTATAGTATATACTACAAATAAATAATTTAATAATTAACTTTGCAATATCATAGTTTGCACAATTCTCAGAATATGAGATAAATCTTTATTTAACTCTGGATCATTAACTTTTATTTATTTACTTTTCATGTCGTCGTCGACCATTTTTATTTTTATGTAAAATTATATTATAATTTGTCTATAAAATACGAATAACAAAGTTTATAATAACCTATTTAAAGCATTTAATATCTTCGAATATTTCATTACGGTACCGGAAGTGGCAGCAATTCGCCTTGAGACACGATACCAAGTTTATATACCCATACCCGTTTGTGAATTCAACAAGTTATTTGTTCTTTTTAACTTTTTAAATTCTTGCATTATTATAGTCATTCAAAAAAATTTCATTCGAAATTTCTTATTCCATAATTGAAAATATTTTTTGAACCATAGATAAAAGAAGAGTATATTATATGTTTTGAACCTCGTATTATATATATATATTGTTCTCATTTCCAATATTAAGAATAAGAAGTTATTCAGGTTTTCTTAGGCTTTATTAACATCGTGTGTTTGTATGTATTACATATATATTGTTCTCATTTCCAATATTAAGAATAAGAAGTTATTCAGGTTTTCTTAGGCTTTATTAACATCGTGTGTTTTGTGTGATTGTATGTGCGTGTGTATGTGTGAACAGATATATGACCTTTAGTCTATGTTTCCTTAAAAAGGACTGGGCCGATTGCAAAATTTTAAAAGCCGTTCGATGTAACTCGATCAGGACTAGCGTTTGTTCGTTTTGCGCGAAGATCAGCCAAGCCGTTTGTAAATAATAGAAAAGTGAAAAAAAAACTAGTCCGCGTTTTAGCCCGCAATTCTGAATCGATTTAAAAAAATCAAAAACTATTCGAAAAATATTATGAGAGTCGTGCTGATTAATTTTAGTTAAAGATCGGCCTAGCCGTTTTTTCGTAATTATCTGTTGAATTTTTTTTCGGAACTTTTTATGTTTATAGATATCATGGTCCTACAGAACATATTAAAATTTTACGGCACTACGGCAAAAAGTTTAATTTTAACTAGTGGTGTATGGCATCGTGTGCCTTGAGGCAAATTGCTGGAATTCAGGGCCGTACCTGGCCAGCGTGCAGTGCGTGCGAGATGCGGCCATATCAAAAAAAGTACAAATTTAAAGGCGGCCATACACAGAAACCGGCCATACCAAAAAGCGGCCGTAATAAAAATTGAAAATTGCATTGAAAATACACTGAATTAAAAGGCGGCCAAATTGAAAGACCGCTGGATTAAGAGACGGCCAAATTAAATCAACTTATAGTTAAAATATAATATATTAATTGAGTGCATTGCAATGTGAAAAACTATCGCAGATTATTAAATTTTGTGCAAATTTTCTAAACAACATGTTAGTTATTTTTTTAAAAAAAAATTTTATTTGCATAGATTTATTGCCAATCAAAATAAGTTATTTTTTATAAATGATTTAAAAATTAAATATTATTGAACAAGAAATAAACGTGTAGTATGTTCATTGAACAGGTGCCAAAATCGCCAAAAAATTTGTTAATCAATAACTGAAAAACGACTTGACCGATCATTGACAAAAAGTAATCAGCACGATTCTCAAATAGTACATTTGTAATGGTTTTTGAATTTTCAAAATCGATTCACGAATTTAGGCTATAACGCGGACAAAAAATTTCACACTTTTGATAAATCTAAAGAAACGGCTCGGCCGATCGTGAGGCAAAATTAACCAGCACGAGTGCTTATCGAATTTTCAAATAGAATTGCGCATTTTTATGAAAACGTCAAATGAAGATGAAATTTGCCCCACGTAAAAAAGTGCTGCTAATTTTTTCAAACTTTGATAATATTTTAAAAATTAAAACGACTTGTCGTAAGGTCGAAATATTTAGTTATATTTGAGATCATGATCTCTATCGTCAAAAAAGTTTTATAAATATCAACTTAAGAAAATATTTAACAATTATATACGAAGAAACGATCTGACCGATCTCGTAAAACTAATCAGCACGATTCTCAAATGATATCTTTCGAACAATTTCTGAATGTTTAGAAACGATGCGCGATTTTTGGCTAAAACGTGTACAAAAATTTTTACACTTTTTTGTTGATTAAAAACGGTTTGGTCGATTGTTGCACAAAACTGACAGATGGTAGTGGTTATCTAGTTACATCAAATAATGTTTGAATTTATTAAATCGATTTAACCGTATTTCAGAGAAAACTTTGGCAAAAAGTAAAAATCGGCTCATTAAAATATTTTTTTTTCCAAACGATTATTTATATAATATTTTTTGGTCTCAAACGATTCAGAATGACTAGAAACGTAGAGACAACATAAAAATTACAAGTTGAATTTTTTATGTTTTTAATATTTGATACTTTTCTATTATGTCATTTCCAAGGGCGGCCCAAAAATGCTCGCACGCAGGCGGCCACATGCCCAGACACGGCCCTGCTGGAACTTTCCGTACCGTAACGAAATGTTCAAGGAATATTAAATGTTATCAAATAGGCTATTAAATAAATACTGTAACATTGTATAATATTTATAAGAATTGTAAAAACTGAATCACAAAGTCAAAAATATTTATTTAAAGTATATAAGAGAGCTTTAAAACTTTAGCTTTTAAAACTGAAATCTGAATTATTTTCGGTATACAAAAAAAAAATTGAAATGAAAAAAAAATTCCGAAAGCAATTGTTTTGTCAACGCAAGCAGAAAGTTTTTTGAATTATTCAATTACGATGCTTATTTCTCTCAAAAACCCCCTTTTTTGACTATTCCCAGTAAACCACAGAAGTTAAATCTACGTAACTCATTTTGTAACTTTCGTTTCGAAACTGATGTTAAGTAAAAAAACCGATGCTGTTACGTATAGTTGTGATCTTTAACCACCGTCGACGCGTTTCTGTCGGTACGTGGCGCGGTACGTTGCATTGTCACATAGATTAGCCTTTGAAATAGCCGTGAAGTGTTTTATGAGCGAAACGTCAAATTAATTATAGGTTAACTCAGTTAGTGCATCGTGGACGCAGAATTGAGTATTTTATCGTGTATGTTTGAAATGCAAGATATTTCAATTATTGAAACGTTATTTATTAATTGCTTTTATATTTAGTGCGAAATCAGTTTGTAGAAATTAGTTAACAGTCAGCTGCAAAAGTATTTAATATGAAACCGGCAAATAAGGTGAGTCTAATTGTACTGAAACATATTTTAATTTATAAATTATTATAATAATGTTTAGTCATTTGCAGTATAGTATAGGCCGTCTTCAATGCAAAGTCTGTTTATGTGTTGTGATAAGTGATTTATCATGCAATATTGAAATTTCTAACGCACCAGTCAGAAATATAACCTCAATTCAGTGATATATGAATAAAGAGAAGTAAGTTATATAGTTTTATACATATTCATTTTTTATAGTTCCATTAGTTTCAGAACTATTTATCTAAGCACAAACTGATATAAGTTGGTTTTTAATTGTAGAGAAAATTACAGTGCTGATAACCCCTACGAAAATGGATTTCAAACTAGGGAAATTTGCTCCAATAGAGAAGATAAATACAAAGTTAGATAAAATATTAGAAATTATTAATCCTTTGTCACCAAAAAAACAAGCAAGGCTTCAAAACATGCAAGAAGAAAAATAAGAACACATATCAATAATAAGAACACATATCGATTAAGTGTTGAAAAGAAAATGAATTGTTGAGTATTTCTTAAGTAATGATCTTGTATTACAGAATAGGTATATTAATGTTTTACACAAAGAGACTTTAACTAATATGATTTAGTACTAATTTGTAATGTTTTACTTTTAGGAAAGTGATATATTTAATACGAAAACGCCAGAGGTGAGTATAATTGTGCGGATTTTTTTTAAATTTACAAATTATTATTATAATGATTAATTAGTTATTTTCAGTATATAGGTCGTGTTCAATGCAAATTCTGTTTATGTATTGTGATAATTGATTTATCACATATTATTGAAATTTCTGACAGACAGTCAAAAATCACATAACCTCAATTCATGATATGATATGAATATTATAGGTAGATATGTAATATTATGGTTTATACATATTCTTTTATAATTCCATCAGAACTATTCAGTTAAGCAAAAACTGATATAAATTGCTTTTCAATTGTAGAGAAAGACTGCTCATAACCCTTATGGGTTATGTCAAAATGGATTTCAAACTAGGGAAATTTGCTCTAATCAAGAAGATAAATTGTCATCAAAGAAACAAGCAAGACTTAAAAGCATGCGAGAAGGAATACAAAGAATACACCGGATATCACACATTATATGGATTAAGTGTTGAAGAGAACATGAATTGTTGAGTATTTCGAGTCTGATGATCTTGTGTTACAGAATTGGTATATTAAGGTTCTACATGAAGAGAATTTTAACTAATATGATTTAGTACTAATATGTAATGTTTTACTTTTAGAAATTCACGTCTTAAAAATTAAGAGGATAAAATCAATGCAAGAAAATTATTAAGTGTGTTCATCGAATAATTATCTCTGTCATATGATTGTAAGTACTACATAGTCATCAACTTCAAATAAGGAGTATGTTTAGAGGTAATGTTCACAAATGACTAATTTGTTCACAATATTTTCAATTAAAAATTTGTTTACAATATTACTAAGATGTTTCGTTCTATTTCAGATACATTAACAGATGCAAGTGAGTTGAGCATATTTAACGCAAGACTTAACTTTGCCAAGTCTGATTTAACTGAAGTTGCCAAGAGAGTTAAACATAATACATATTATGAATAAATAAATATTTATTTTTATAGGTTAACATTTTATGGACTATCAAATTTTAGTTTTCCAATGTTGCAACTATGTAATATGTAAATTTTGTATATAAATGATATTATTTAATAAAATTACTAAATATCCGAAATTGATTTTATATTTGCAGGAAATTTAATTAAATAATTATGTAACATAAAAGACACCTACACGCTTTTTTATTCAACTTTGATACGTAGCAAAAATGCAACCGCAGTGTTTTAGTGTGCAACGAAACAGCCGTTACGTTCATGCCCGCGAAATAGATACTTCTGTGTGCCTCCCAGGTTACGTACCTGCTTCGTGCGAACGTGGCAGCGTTACGTAACGTTCATGGCTTTGTTACGTTTTGTGGTTTACTGGGTTTATCCCTGTATCTTTGAAATGGCTGGGCCTGCCTTTGCCAAAACCTAATAGCCATTTCTCCCAATAATTACTAATTGAATGTTTTTCAGATCATTCAAACTCGATTTCTATTTTCTGCATTCTTTGCTTTTTATCTCCGTATCGGCTGGATCTGCCTTTGCCAAAAACTAATCCGCACATCTCCCTATCAAAGAGAATCGAATGTTTTTTGAACCATTTGAAGTTTTTTTCAAATCGGTTGATCCGTGCGCCCGAAAACGTAAACGAAAAAATGCGGACACACAAAACACACACACATCCATTTTTAATCTTCAAAACGTGGAGAAATGCAAAAATTATCATTTTGGATTTTTAACCCATTGCTATAACTACTCTTTTAACGGAAAGTTAAATATTTATTAAAGTTTGAAAAATGGTGTGATGGGTGAAACATTGTCAATTCATTAAAATTTGGAAAAAAAGCTTCAATTTTAGGACATATAAGCAAATGCCTGTGCAATATTATTAACATAATTACAGAATATTTAAATGTGTTTGAGGAAATTCAGTTAGAAATCGCACTATTTATTTAATTGAGAGCGAAAACTTTATTTTTAAAATAAACAGTTAAAAATTTTATCCAAATATCTAAATCTTAATTTCGGTTAATTAAGTCTATCATTAAGGCGCGCCACATCTAACGAACGAGCACGAACCAACATGTCGAACAAGAAAATACAAAAGGTGCGCTACACCTAACGAACGAACACGACCGAACATAAATGAACGTACCAGAACGAACGGCAACAGCATAGTGTGGACGCCACAACGATCACGAACGAACATAAACAAACATGGCGAGCAATGTTCCGCAACTTGTCGGTTCATCAAAGGGAATTGTTCGTTCGTGTTTGAACTCGTATGTGCAGTGTGGACGCTACCACGAATGTAGACAAACATTTTTCTTTTTTGGTGTTAAAAAGTGCAGTCCTGCATTAGTTTTTGTTGTGTTTATAATAATATATTGATGTTATTGACAAATTTTGTAAATTTGATGACTTTAAATAATTTTGCTTTTTCTCGCCACTTTAAATAATAAATCTGACGTTTCACGGTACTTTCTCGAACAAAGAGATTCAAGCCCTCAGTGCCCTACCTCAGTGCTTTGAGGCGTTTGTTTGGAATTATTCGCGTTCGTTCGTGTTCCTGTTCGTTCTTCTTTGTATTTTCTTGTTCGACATGTTCGTTCGTGTTCGTTCGTTAGGTGTGGGCGCACCTGAAGAACGAACACGAACACGAACGAACGCAAATAATTCTAAACAAACGCCTCAAAGCAGTGAGAGGTTGAATCATAGATAAAAGAAGAGTATGGGTTGAATATTTTTGTTCGAGGATGTACCGTGAAACGTCAGATTTATTATTTAGAGTGGCGGGAAAGAGAAAAATTATTTAAAGTCATCAAATTTACAAAATTTGTCAATAACAGCAGTATCTTTTAATAAACACAACATAAACTAATGCATGCAATTATAACATCAAAAAAGGAAAATGTTTGTCTGCATTCGTTGTAGCGTCCACACTGCACATACGAGTTCAAACATGAACGAACAATTTTTTTTCATGTACCGACAAGTTGGGGAACATTGCTCGCCATCTTTGTTTGTGTTCGTTCGTGATCGTTGTGGCCACACTATGCTCGTTGCCGTTCGTTCTGGTTCGCAATTCTTGCTTGTTCATGCTCGTTCGTTAGGTGTGGACGCACCTTTACACATTTTAGGAAGTTTATGTAACTTGCCTTAGGGCTTAATGCCACTTTCAACTAGTTACGAATACGAAATAATATCAGCGGTTTTTATATTGTACATGTGCTACCACCTATTGATCTCTCAATTAATTAAAACGAAGTCGACGAGTTAACGTTAAAGCGCCAAACACAGCGATCTCTTGATGTTTATTATCTATGGTTTAATCGTAGTCGTGTAGTGAAAAGAAAAAATGACAATTGCGGAGAAATGTCATTATTCGTGAAAGAGAAAAAAATAGCATTAATATTAGCTGCCTAATAGTTTAATATTAGCTATTATGTTTATATTTAAAAAATTTCACGTTTAATGTTTAAATAATTGAATCCAATCAGTATGACATTTTTTGAAATTTTTGTCATAGTAAATTTCATTTTGTCTCTTTTTGCAATTGGACAATGTAATGTGTGAATTAAATATTACATTAATATTTTTATTGATTCAATTGAGGAATACTAAATCAGTGATGTATATTTTAGGTTCCATACATAAAAATTTAAAAAATTATGATATTCTTCATACATCACATTTTGAACATAATATTATAAAAAAAGGTGTGCAGTATAGCTCACACCCAATGAATATCATAAAAGAAGTAAAATTCAAGACTTTGGGAAAAGATTTTCGGCTAATTCTAAATCCGCATAAAGAAGTCATACACTCAAAATTTAAAGCTTATTCTGTGAACGCAGAAGGAGAAGAAACAACTATTCATATAGGTGATTAATTTAAAATATTACAAAAAAATGAATCGATATTGTGCAAGATTTCAATGATAAAATAGAGTAGAGCCAAACCTTCTTTGTTTGATTTTGCATACTTCTATGTTAGAAATTTTCATAATATGATATCATTTAATGTACCTCTTTATAGTGTATTGTCTTTTACAAAATAACTTAAAAATTTTTTTCAGATTTTTTTGAATTTTATTTGAGATTTTTTGTGTTGCTAAATGCTTCAAATGTTCTGTTGTCTTGTTTATGTAATAAAAAATTACAACTTCTGTAATATAATATCATGCTGCTTCTTTACAGAAAAAAAGATATTAGATAAAACAGATAACATTAACAGACATAACATCAAAGATATAGACATAGATAAAGCATTTTTAAGCAAGCTGATTTTCATTTATAACGCATTAACCACATCTCTGCATGATCTTCCCAATTAGTTCCAGTTATATTGGTAATAGTTGAGTTTTTTAATTGTTTTGGTTATTTTCTCTCATTTTCTACTATTCCAACATTAATATATTACTCTACTCTATTTTATTCAAATCTTGAGAAATACTAATTGTTAGTATTTAAAAAATCAAAAATGATTTTATATTTTCCAACAAAGTTTAGTTTAGAGATACACATTTTTGTGACTAGAAAACTGCAAACGGTATATTAGATGGAATATGAATTACAATATTCTTCTAAGGATAAAATTTTTTGTACCTGTGATTTTTAGCATTCTAGGTACAAAAACCATTGCTTGGCAGGTTTCTGTTCTCTGCATCATCCTTCAGGAATTTGAAAATCCAAAAAAAGAACTGAATTATAAATTTGGCACTTCGACCTTCAATTTTTTATATGATTTTATTTACTCATTGTGAGGTCCAAATTACAAATTGCCAGTTGATTTCGATCTGCACAAGTATCCACAAGGCAATCCGAAAGGTGCAAGATGTATATGCATAAAATAAACTTTGTTTTGTAAGATTGAATTTTATATATTGTTTGCCTAAGTTACTAAAAGGTATGTGCAATGCCATGCAATACTGACCAGTATGAACCATTATCAGGCGATATAAGTTTTGCCTATTAGATTACTTGCACTCCCGCTAAGAATCTTTCTTATCGCCTGATGATGGTTTATACTGGTCAGTATTGCATGGCATTGCACATACCTTTTAGTCACTTAGGCAAACAATATATGAAATTTACTCTTACAAAACAAAGTTTATTTTATGCATATACATCTTGCACCTTTCGGATTGCCTTGCGGATACTTGTGCAGATCGAAATCAACTGGCAATTTCTAATTTAGACTTCACAATGAGTAAATAAAATCATATAAAAAATTGAAGCTCGAAAGGCCAAATTTATAATTCAGTACTTTTTTTAGGATTTTCAAATTCCTGAAGGATCAGCGCGTTAATATATATTATATTATGTAAAAGTTAAAAACTGAAATTATGATCAAAATTATTTTAATCACAATGAAATATATATTTGACTTTGAAATAAATTTTTGAATTAATGTTTATCATCAAATTTGCAATAGAAAAAAAGATTGAATCGCCTGGCATTACCTATACCTTTTTAAAATCGCTTAGATAAATACATATATAAATTGTAAACTTGCAGCAAAAGTTAATTTTAATGCATATACATTCATCTCATAAAGGTGCTTGACTTAACTGAGCACAAATTAAAATATTTATGTAATTTCAATTTGATGGGTTTCCCTAGTGATAGGTCCATAAATCTAGTGGTGAAGACACTACGTATAAAATTCAAATCAGTTAATCTTATGTACAATTAAAATTTTGTAGGCAATATTTAGCCATAGTAAAAGTTGATTAATTTAATTATTAAGACAAGGTGTGCTCTCCAATTATTATAGTCAGAGTATCATGACCAATGGCAATTAACAAATACTAGTGTATCGACAATTTTCTTTTGTTTTTGCAAGTCAGAAAACCAATATATACTAATAATATTGAACAATAATTGTTATAAATATATTAAAAAACAGTTGTGAGTAGCATTTTTGCTTAAGGCAAGTTGCGTGAACTTGCCGATAGGTATGCATACAACGATTTATCAAAATCTTATAAAAAAAAAATCTTTTGAAAATTAACTACGAAACGCCGATCTTTTCCTGTCTATCAGAACTTTTGAGGTCGAAATTATAAAAAGTATTTGTGAGTGTGTATGTGAGTCAATTTTTGATCTATTTTCAACGTATCCTCCAAAAAACGGGAGCACTGATTTCAAAAATTTAAAAGCCGATCAATACTTGTGTTTAAATTGTGTGTGTTTCAATCGAAATTTGTTAAATGCAACTTGATAATGACGAGCGTTAATTAGTTTTCAAACAAAATTCGCGAATAATTTTTAAAATTTAGAAACAGTTCGAAAGATATAAGGACCATTAATTTTTGGCAAAGATCGGCCAACGTTTCGGTCGTGTTAACTTTATTGTTAGCATGGCGTTAGAGTTCATTGCTTAAATTTCATCTTAAAATATAAAATATAGTTCTAGAAAAGTAGTTTAAATATAATAAAACTAAAAACTTTAACTAAAATAAAACTTAAAATTTGAATTAATTGGTTGCGCTTGTGGGAGACACTAACGCTTATTTCTGAACTAAAAATAATACAATTACTGATAAGTTCGTTTGAAAGGTATTAATTGAAAATCGTATTTATTAGTTTTTAATGAAAGTGAAAACTTTATTCAGAACTAAATGATGGATATTTAATTTAAATAGTTAAATCTTAATTCCAGGGCCGGTCCTGGGGTCCTTTGCGCCCGCATGCAACTTTTATTCTAGCGCCCCCCCCCCTATTAATTTTAACTGTTTTAACAGTTTATCATTAAAATTAAATAAATATTTATATAAATTGTTTTCAAATTAATTTTTAATTATTCTGGATTTAGTTTAATCTAAGATTTTTAATTATTTAGGATTTAGTATACAAAAAATTAGATATAATCTAAAAGCGTATAAAATACATTGATTTTAAATTTATTTAGAAAATCGAGGCGATTTGCGGGTTGATTATTATCAAATATTTTTAAATTTTCAATTTTTAACGTATGTGCAAATATTTGGATTTTGAAACATTTTACTTATTTATTACGCAATTTATTCTATTGAGCAAATCATGCCAGGAGAGCTAAAAACAACTAGCTTTTATGTATTTCATGTGGGATTTTTTAAATTTAAATTAATTTAATTTTTTATTATTTACAATATTAAAAATTGCGGCGTAAAATTCTCCTTATTGATATCGTAAGACCCGAATTGTATTCATCCTTGTTTTCCCGTCATACTCAGAGTACCAGATTGTTTCAATTGTGATTGTGATAATTTTTTAACGTATTTTAGAAGTATTGTCCAAAAATCAGTAAAAAATGAAAAAAAGAAAAAACGCATTTCTTGAACTATATTGAAAAAAAAAATCTAATTATGTTTGATATGTATTATTTCTGCATAGTTAATAATAATTAAATTTAGAGTATGGACACCACTAGGTATAAAAAAAGCCTTAAAATTTTTGTTCCAAAGTAAATTCTGCTTTCATTTTTTAGATTTGTTCCGTTTCCATAACCCTAATCACGCATGTCTTCAATATTCAAAATTCATCAGAAGCGAAACATTTGGAACAAAAGCAACTGTTACAATTCAATTTCTCGGAATAAACATGCCATTTTCTAGGCACTGATTCCCCATTTTTTATTTTTCCTATTATAATTTGTTTATATTTTTAACAAGTTCCGTTTCAACTAAATCGCCATTTTTCGTCAATAATGCCCAATAATTTAAAACTTCGTAGGTTTGCGCTTACGGAATTGAACACTAGATAATTTCTTTTTCGATTCCACGGTAACTTCAAACAAAGAAAATATTGAATAAGTAGATTAAGCAATAAACAGAGCTGTTATTTAGTAATTTGCAGAGTTATTATTTGGATAATTGTTTCTACTGATATCACATAGTAAAATAAATATGCTTTTTGTGTCCCCGTATCCCTAGTTAAGTTAGATAGTTTATTATAATTCATTAATATGTTATAAATTTTATTTCCGAATCTCATTTTGGCGCCCCCTAAGGCGTGCGCCCGCATTTTTGCATGCATCGCATGCAAGACAGGACCGGCCCTGCTTAATTCTTATTGATTAAGTCCATTATTTTCACGCATCTGAAAACACGCATAGTTTTATTTTTGTTCGAAAGTTTTTTTTTTAATTTCTCGTTTTTCATAATTTTCATTGAAATAAATTATTATTATAATTTCATGGAATTGCGTACGACTACTTACGGAACGGAATTTTGTGTCAGTGTATATGGAGCCAATTTTATCAAAAAATTGAGCTCGTGGTTGAGCAAAATACCGATTATTTTTAAAAAAAAAAATACGTTGCAAATTTTATATTCATGTTCTATAATTATCTTACAATTAAAATCTACAGATGAGATCGGTTTTATTGCGTTAACTTTTTCTTTGTTTCACTTTTTCTAAAAATCTACTCCAAAGTCAAAGGCATAGATAAGGTCATATTAATTTCAATGGCGGCGTATTCGTGTTTTACTATTTTGTATTAGGCAAAACATGATTTACATTAAGTATTAATTAAATTAATTGACTTTCAACTATCTTTGCAGATCATGACAACTTTTTTAAAGGAAGATTGTTTGGAGAAATTGACTCTGATGCCAGGGTGCACATAGAAAATGGATTGGTTACAGCTACTATTCATCTGCCTGATGAAATTTATCACATTGAGGTACTAAACAATATCACGCGATACCTATTTAGAACAAAACTTCATTAATTAAAATTTTTAGCCTTCTTGGAGACATTTTCAACATCATGGAAATGAGACTATGATTGCTTATCGCCAGTCTGATGTTTTGTTAAGTTGGGAACACTCTGGACAAAGTTCAAAAACTTGTGGATATGTTAGAGAGGGAGCAGGTATTTTTTTAAAAAATCAGGGGATATGTCAATTATTAACTTCCCGTAGGGTAAGTTATTGTAATTATCTTCCAAAAATCGAAATTGAAAATTTTTGCATTTCTCAACATTTTGAAGGTTTCTAAACATTTTGGCATACCTCAGAAAAAATGGATGTGTGTGTGCGTTTTGTGTGTCAGCATTTTTTCGTTCAATCAGATTTGAATGGTTCAAAAAACATTCGATTTTTATTCATAGGGAGATGTGCCGATTAGTTTTTGTCAAAGGCAGGTCCAGCCGTTATGGAGATACTGAGCAAAGAGTGCAGAAAATACAAATCGAGTTTTCGAGAGAACGGAGTATCCGATTTCAATGATCTGAAAAACATTCAATTTGTAATGATTAGGAGAAGGGGTGATTAGTTTTTGGCAAAGGCAGGTTTAGCCATTTCGAAGATATAGAGCTAAATGTACAAGAAATGATAGTTTTTGAGAGAACTAAGCATCAGATCAGAAAACTTTCTGCTTTTGTTGTCAAAACAATTGCTTTGGGAAAAAAATCAATTTTTTATCGAAAATAATTCGATTTTTGGCTTTTGAAATTTTAATCTGATTTTAATTTGAATTTTGGCTAAAGTTCTAAAGCTTGCTTATATATTTAAAATAAATAATTTCAAGTTTGTAATTCAGTTTATATAATTTGTAATAAGCGCATTTGAAAACCCTCAGATGTTTTGTAGCATATAGCAGCATGTTTTTCAGATAAAAATTTGGGCGGTCCACTTCTCCCTACATTTTCGAAAAACACGGTAAATACACTTTTTTTTGCCAATTAAAAAAAGATATACTTCCAAACATAATTGCAAGCATCTGCTTTGCATCTGCTATGATAAAAGGTTGCATTTTGGAGTACCCTTACAACTACAAAAAAAAATATTTTCATTTTTAACAATTTTACAACCAAAAATAAAAACGTGGCCCACTTTTGTCTACAGCACCCTACTTTAAATAAATGATTTTAACTTTGTAATTCAGTTTTTATAATTCTTATAAATATTAAAAAATATTACAGTATTTATAATAATCTATTTGAAAACATTTAATTAATATTCTTCGAACATTTCGTTACGGTACGACAAATTCAAGCAATTTGTCTTAAGACACGATGCCATACCGCCACTAGTTATATCTTTTTTCATAAACTATATTTATACGTCCAATCGTCGTGAAAATTTGGAAAATTGTAGGTAAAATCCCGGACAGGTTTTCAGATATTTTGATTGAAGCCAAGTGGTAGGGGTTATAATGCTGATATGCAAAACCCGTAAATTCGTTTTGTTTATTTCAATTTTTGGATCCGCTTATTATATCAATATTCTGGAAATTTTGAACTTTTTCCAAAGCAATTATTAAAACTTCTGAAACCATTAAATTTCTGATAATTTGATGTGCATATGTCTAATGATCATTTTTGACCGCCAAATGGCTTTCTTTTACTTTTTTACTAGATCTTCGAAACCGCTAGACCTGCCTTCCCAATCAGTTCTTCATATTGTCAATATGTGAAGTATTTTTTGAATTATTAAAATCGGAAGCTCCGTTCTCTTAAAAAGTGAGGTACCGTAATTGGCACTTTTTGCCCCGTATCTTTGGTACGGATAGACCTGCCTTTGCCAAAAACTAATCAGCACGCCTCCTTATAAATACGAATCAAATGTTTTTTAAATTATTCAAATCGGTTGATTCGTGTTCCTGAAATCGACGACGAAAATTTGTATCCGCACACATACATACATTTTTTGTAAGGCTTGCCTTTGAAACGTAAAGATATATAAAAAATTTCATTTTCGATTTTTTTACGATTTCTATAACTTACCCTACGGGAAGTTAATAATTGTTTCAATAAAAACTATTGGTTTTAATTAATATACGAGTATACATATATATGCATATACATATACAAATACATAAATATATATATATATATATATATATATATAAATATATATATATATGTATATATATGTATATATATATATATATATATATATATATATATATTAGGGTGGTCCTTGATATGGACATTTTCGAATTTCCTTGCTTCCAAGGGCTCAAATGGTTCCAAATTGATAAAAAACAGTTCTCTGAAAGTTTTAGCTCTTAATATTGTTTTTTAGATAGAGCGCAATCCAATCAAAGTTTTGTATGGAAATAGCATAAAAAATTTTCAAAAATTTTGCAGAGCGTCGAATTTTCAATAAAAAATGACACGAATTTTCACTTTTAATTCATTTGTCGCTAAGTTATACCTAAAAAAATGTTTTTTTTTAATTTTTAAAAAAATTTTCATGCTATTTCCATACGAAGTTTGATTGAATTGCGCTTTATCTAAAAGTTAATATTAAGAGCTAAAACTTACTTAATCGACCAAGTCGATTTTATAGAAATAATTAAAATCGTTGAATACATTTTATAAGTAAATTATAAAAGTCGATATATGCTGGTACAGAATTTAATAACCAATGATTTATATTATCATTATTTTTATTTTTTTTTATTTATATATATACATTATTTTTATATCTCAGACAGACAGAGGTTATTTAAGTAAATTTTTCAAAAACTTTAATTCGTTGTCAACTTTTTTCACACCCAATGAAAGTACATGAAAGTAGCATTCAAAATGTTTTTAGATAAACTATTGGTTTCTAATTATTCTTCTTTTTTTTCAATTTCCACATTATTTTATTTATTAGAAAAAGATAATGATGACGAAATCGAGGTTGAAACTTTACAAGATAACGAAAATTCGACAAGAAACAAACGCCAAATAGATCAATATGAGTATACACCGACGAAGACGAGATGTCCACTTCTCTTAGTAGCGGATTATCGTTTCTTTCAAGAAATGGGAGCAAGCAATACAAAGACAACAATAAACTATCTTATAAGTTTAATCGATAGAGTGCACAAAATTTACAATGATACAATATGGCAAGACAGACAGGAACAGGATGGCTTCAAGGGAATGGGTTTTGTAATCAAAAAAATTGTTGTTCATGCTGAACCTACGAGAGTCAAGGGAGGAGAAGCTCATTACAATATGATTCGAGAAAAATGGGATGTGAGAAATTTGCTTGAGGTAAATATATTTTTACATTTAAGTATTAATAATAACTTTTGCATGTATAAATACCCATTTAATATTTTATCAATTAGATTAAATTTGTATTTTTTACATTAGAAGTACATCAATATTTTTTTTTGAAAATTACATCTTACAAATTTCTTTTTCGCTTTACTATCGTCACGTCTTATAATTATATGAACAGGAACAGAATGATTTAATATTGTCAATATTATATATATACATATATATATATATATATATACATATATATATATATATCTTATATATAAAAATAGATCGCAAAATGTGTTGGTAAGCGCATAACTCAACAACGCCTGGACCAATTTGGCCAATTCTTTTTTTAAAATGTTCGTTGAAGTCCAAGGATGGTTGTTACGGCGAGAAAAAAACGAATAATACCCGGGAAAACCCTAAAAATAGCCCTTTTCTTCTTTAATCGAGTAGGCAACGCAATTTGTATAAAAAACAATGATCTATGTCATGACATTTTGTGTAGTTTTTGATAATCTTGAATATATTTATATAAACATAGAAATATCTTCCTATTAATCAAGCTATATTGGCAGCCAAAAACATTGATGTAAATTAATTAAATTTCAAAATTCAAGAACAAATTGTAGGCGAATCAGTTGATTCGGCAACTAACCAAGACGATGCACCGGAGTTTTTAAACTCGATGGATTTGCTAGGATTGTCACCTCACAATCTTCAATTAAAGGTTGGATCGGCAATTATAATGTTGCGAAATATCGACCAACCGCACCTTTGCAACGGCACAAGGTTAGCGATAAAAAAAGATTTGAGATTAAACGACTACAGTTTCCAGTGCGTTTATGGTATCATTAAGTGTTTGTGGTATTAATTTGGAAAACCCATGTTTCTCACATGGAAAATTGTATGTTGTCTGTTCCCGTATTGGAAAACCATCCAATTCGCCAGGTAATCAAACAAAAAACATCGTTTATCACAAAGCACTACAATAAAAATTGAACTGATTTTTGAATTATGATTTACATGATTAAAATTACTTACATTTAAATGCTTATAGTGTTTTATTTAATTATTTTTAATTCACACCGAATTATTACCAGGGTGGCGGTTCTGTTCAGGATAATTTTTTGCAAAGAATAGAAAAAAGGTAGGCACAAAACACCGCCACATTACAATTTTTTTTTAACAGGACGAAGTCTGTCGGGCCGGCTAGTATATATATATATATATATATTAGGGTGGTCCTTAAAATGGTCATTTTCGAATTTCCTTGCTCCCAGGGGCTCAAATGGTTCCAAATAGATAAAAAACAATTCTCTGAAAGTTTTAGCTCTTAATATTAACGTTTAGATAGAGCGCAAATCAATCAAAGTTTTGTATGGAAATAGCATGGAAAAATTTTCAAAAATTATCAAAAATGTTAAAAATGTTTTTTAGATGTAATTTAGCGAACAAATGAATGAATAAAACTCATTCATTTGTCACTAAGTTATATCTAAAACATTTTTTTAAATTTTCAAAATGTTTTCCATGCTCTTTCCATACAAACTTTGATTGAATTGCGCTCTATCTAAACGTTAATATTAAGAGCTAAGACTTTCAGAGAATTGTTTTTTATCTATTTGGAACCAGTTGAGCCCCTGGGAGCAAGGAAATTCAAAAATGACCATTTTAAGGACCACCCTAATATATATACATATATATATATATATATATATATATATATATATATATATATAACGGGCATAACATCAATAAAAAACATGAATTTCTTTGAAAAAATTATTTTACATCCATACGTTGCGGCTATAATCCAAGCACTAAGATTAACTAATTGTAAGTACTATTTACTCTTTTTATTTTTTCTTTTTACTTCAATTCAATTGTTTTACTTTTTAATTTTATTTTAAGTTTCCGCCGAATGAAGGCTAGGATTATAGCCGTAACGTATGAATGTAAAATAAATTTTTGAAAGAAATACATGTTTTTTCATTGTGCTTTTAGCCATAAGCTATATAACGGATTTCTTAAAAACAGAATGCGTTAAGGCTACAATTGTAGCCACCGCAGAGAACCAGTATTTTTTTAACTTCCCGTAGGGTAAGTTATTGTAATCGTCCAAAAATCTAAATTGAAAATTTTTACATTTCTCGACGTTTTGAAGGTTTCTGAATATTTTGGCATACCTCAGAAAAAATGGATGTGTGTGTGTATATATGTATGTATGGATACAATTTTTCGGTCACGAAACATTTTTTTTTGTGTATCGAAAATAAATCAGATTTTATTTTTAATTCTGACTAAAGTTCTAATATACTTTAAACAAATAATTTCAACTTTGCAATTCAGTTTATATAATTTTTATAAATATTAGACAATGTTACAATATTTATAATAATCTATTTGAAAACATTCAGTATTCCTCAAACATTTCGTTACGGTACGGGAAGTTCCAGCAATTTGCCTTAAGGCACGATATGCCATACACGCAGACACCCCACTAGTTATTTTATATATAATTGCTTATATTATTATTCAAATATGTTTTTAGAGTATTATTATTTGATATAGACACTATTTAACCTCTCGATTTATTTTAATAAAAGTGCCGACGTTTGGAAACGCGGTCCCAAAATGTAAATTTATTCTCACAGATTCTATCTTTGAGTAGTTAAAGCTTGCCAGAACTTGTCAATAATTGTTTACAAAATGTTATTATAATATTTGAGGAAATAGACTTGGTGGTTGTAATTAGCTCGTCGAATGTTACAGAATATGCATGTTCTGCGCACGTAATTATATTTGTGGATGCATTAGATATAGGTGCTTAATTCTGTATTAGTTGTGGTAATGAAAATTGTTATTACATCATAATAAAAAAATAGTGAAGTGATAAGGGCTTACTGAAAGATAACTTGAACAGCTTACAGAAAAATGAAATTGAACATTTAGTTTACTCACAAGAACCTCAGATTTACCCTTCTGGGATTTTGATGAAATTTCGCATGATTATAGAGGTGTTAGAGTTTATAGTCAAACCGAAAACCTTGATAACTTGAAAGATAACTTGAACAGCTTACAGAAAAATGAAATTGACCATTTAGTTTACTCACAAGAACCTCAGATTTACCCTTCTGGGATTTTGATGAAATTTCGCATGATTATAGAGGTATTAGAGTTTATAGTCAAACCGGAAACCTTAAAATATTATAGGCAAATGAGAAGTGGTGTTATTATAAAAATTAATTAAAACAACGACAATAGACATTGTCGCCAAAGGATTGCACCTCAGTGCAAAAGTCATCCTCCACCCACGTCTACTATGGTTCCTACAATATAAGGTCCAAGTCGAGGGTTAAAAATATTTATTGAGAAATGCAACATCCTCCGAGGATGTCACGATACGTGTCGGTAGCTCTATCAGTTAGAGCAGTGCTTCCTAACCTGTGGGTAATTACCCCCGCAGGGGTAAAATGGAGTTCTAGGGGGGTAACACGGGATGGCACGAAATAGTATTAAAATAGCAATAAAGAAATATAATAGTACGGTAAACGGTAGCACGGCGTTCTCTTGTGGCGGCTGAGTTCGCAGATAAAAATATAGATTTTTTTTAAGAAAAAGGAGAAGATTCTGAAGTCTTTGCGCATGTTTCTACAGGCGATATACAGAAAGCAAATGAATCATGCCATCAATCTTTATACAAAATTGCTTATCGCATCGCACGTAATAAAAAACCACACACTATAGGAGAGGACCTCATCTTGCTTGTTAGATTCAGTAACACTTGTTATTGGTGAGCAACATGTAGCTAAGATTAAACAAATCACACTTTCAAACCCTACTATTCAAATTCGCATATGTGAAATGAGTGCCGATATTCTAGCCACTGTTATTTCTGAAATAAAGGAAAGTCCTATGTTTGCGCTGCAGTTGGACGAGTCCACAGATGTTGCTTTGTGTTCACAATTATTGGTGTTTACACGATACATTAAAAGATGATGATGTAAAGGAGGAATATTTATTCTGCAAGTCTTTGCCCACTACTACTCGCGGCAAAAGTTTTCAGGCGCTCGTGAAACAAGTTGCTCCTCAAGTTTTCGGCTATCATTGCTTGATACACCGTTACGCTTTGGTTGTGAAAACGCTTCCACCAGATTTGATAAACACGTTTAGTAACATAGTAAAAATTGTTAATCATATTCGAAGCAGTGCTACTAACTCAAGATTATTCAAAGTTTTGTGCGATGAAGTTGGTCCCTCTTTTAATGCTCTTTTGTACCCTACAGAGGTACGTTGGTTATCAAGAGGCAAAAGTAGGGTTTACGAATTACGAGAAGAAATTCGATTGTTTTTTGAAAATCAGAGAACACAAAAAAAAAATATTATGCAAAAATTAAAGACCAAACATTTGTTCTAAAAATGTCGTACCTTGCTCATTTTTTCACTGAAATTAAGAGTCTGAATATTTCATTTCAAGGAAATGAAACGAATATTTTGACGTTGCAGGATAAAATCGCAAGTTTTGTGAGCAAATTGGAACTTTACCAACGCAGTTCAGGCTGGTGATGTGTCAATGTTTACACAACTAAGTGAGCAATTAGTAAATAATAAATAAGACAAAATCATCGAAGAAACCGTCTGAATGTTGAGCATGACCTGAGATGCGCGTTGGTAAAACCGAACCTAATATTGTCAAATTTGCGAATGCAAAGCAATTTCAACCTTCATACGAGTTAACTTCAAGATTTGCATATTACTTTACTTTACTAGTTACCTAAACGTGCAATTTCTTAGAATTTAGTTAGATAATAAACATATTTTTGTTCGAATTTGTGTGGTTTTAATTATTTTAAATTAGCTAGGGGTTAACTCAATTCCCATACTTATTCACAGAAGTAGTGACATTGAAAAGGTTAGGAACCACTGAGTTAGAGCGTTTAACCTACTTTTTGCGTTTCGATATATAGATGAATAAGTTAAAAACGATCGGATTCAAAACCGGCCAGTGTATGATTTATTTTTTATATTTCTACCACAAAATTACTACCACATGAATTAGACAAATAAGAAATTAATCAGAGGAAAAGACGCGCAAAATTACATTTGACAATGTATTACCTCATATTTGTATTTTCGAAAATTAGAGGCCAGAAACAGAGAAATATAATATTATATAATGTTTTGAATATGCGACAAATACGCCTTCCAAAATTTTATTATAGTGCAATTTATAGTCACATATAGCAGAATTTAAAATATGTAGAATTGTTAATATCCTATGTAAATACATATAATATATGTACTTACTTAGAGATTTGATTCAAACATATCATTTTTTGTTTGCAAATTATTTGAAATGGGTTAATAGTTCTAATATTTTTTTTGCAATATTTAGCTATTCAAACATAAAAATAAGTTTAAAAAAATAAAAAAAGATTTTTTTTTCTGACGGAACTAGATAATTTTAGTTCTATTACTTATGAACGCAAAAGGCAGGACAAGCACTCTTACTAATAAAGCTACCGAGACGTCGATACGGAACACAATTTTAATTATTTTTTATAATTAAACCAGTTAGCTCAAGCCTATAACATTTAAAGATATTAAATTTGACTACAAACTCACCATGCAAAGTTTCATCAAAATCTCAGAAGAGTAGGTAGTAGGTCTGAGACTCTCCTTGTCAGAGAAAAACAAGACTAGTCGCACACAATTTTGTATCAACAATTTTGTATCGAAAAATATCATAAAACTTTTGCATAAAAGACATTATAAATGATTATTAACAATTATTTATAGCATCATATAAATAAAACTCGTATTGTAATTGAATTTTTATTTTTATTTTATCTTGAAAATCCTAAAATTTCATGGATTGTATTTGATTTAAGCCGGCCGCAGACGATACTGTATAATTGCGCAACCTGTGACTTGCATATGTATTCTGTAGCATCTGTGGGATGTTTTTTGCGTTTTTTAAAAAGTATTTTGTTTAAGGGGTAATGCCACTATAACGTAAAAACGTGTTTTTTATCCTTTTCGGATGGAAGAAAAAGTAACTACAACAGTGATATTACAAGTACATAGTTATTTATTGTACTTTGTTACTTAACAAAATAAAAAAGTATTGTAAAAAAGATTAAAAACCCCAGCCATTTTGTCGATGTGCGTCTAATTGGAGGCGCTCTGCGGCACGTGAAACAACTTCTGCAAATTTAGATCTAATACTGGGTACGGTTGTGCCATAAACCTTTGATCTGCCATAAACCTTTTGCATAAAAGACATTATGAATGATTATGAAAAAAACCTTTGCCGTCCAAATTTGATTTGGGGTTTTTTAATGTGTTTTATACGTAAATCGATAAGAATATAGTACGTATTGTAGCAATCACTCTATAAGAATATAGAACCCAGCAATCTGAAACTTATTTTGCTTCTGCTAATACAAAGTTGTACTCTACAGGATCAATGTTTACATTTCCGTTATATAGCTTTAAATATTATTATTGTTTTTTTTTTATATGTTATCATTTTGCATTTGTATTTATTTTATAATTTAAAATTTAATTTTATAATTAATTAGGTATTTTCTAGAAACGCTGATAATGCAAAGTTTTGTCTAGCGCATTTATTTACTCATCAGACATTTGGCAATAGCGGTAAAAATGTGTTGGGCCTTGGATACATAGCATCGTCGAGACTTCGTTCTCCTGGCGGAATCTGCACTTTCGGTGCATTTTTATTGTTATTACAACTAACTCTTTAGCCAATAGTAATTAACAACGCAATAATACTATCATTAACTGCCCAAATAGTCTAAGAGCCAGTGAACTGTTTGACTAACCTGTTTTCTCAAAGCTAGAATTTTTTTTAATAATATTTTATTATCGGTAAATTAAGAAAGTGCCGGTCTGGCAAGCACCTCGCGATTGGGTCATCATTCCTCGAGTTTTTGAAAATGTAAAAAAAAAATCAATTCTTGTTTCTTCAATTTTTAAATGTGTTCCACAAATTTGATTTGAACAATATTCGCAGTGCTAGAAGTAAAAACAATAGGCTTTCGAATAACGCTAATAAGAAAGTAATTAAACAAAACGCACTATCCGAAAACATTAATTGAATAATTATTTTATCCTTTTAGCTAATAATAAAGGATTATTTAGCATATATTACTATACATTATGTGGTCTAAGCCAATATGAGTAGAATCACGTTTTTTTTTCGATATCTTTTTTGGTTACGCCAAAAATTGAGTTTGAAAAAGGGGCCACTCTGGCATATTTTCAATGATATCTCGGCCATAAGGTGAGATACAAAGTTGAAGTTTGATATATCGGATGTGACCTTCAAAATGGCGTATAAATTATTCAAATACAAGGGTATTAGTCAATTATGTATGGCAATGCGCCCACACCCTTGCGCGTCGTGACTATTATGTACTCGTCTGGCAGACCCTTGCAATCGTCAGAATGGTCTGTCATTTTACATATGCTTTCTGAACACCCTCAAAGAATACACCCTCAAAATTTAAGCCTTGTGAAAGCAAGTTAAATTTTTTTTTTTTTACATTTTCAAAAACTCGAGGGATGATGACGCAATCGCGAGATGCTTGCCAGACCGGCACTTTCTTAATGTACCGATAATAAAATATCATTAAAAAAAATTCTTGCTCTGAGAAAACGGGTTAGTCAAATAGTTCACTGGCTCTTAGACTAAAACTGTTTATCAAACAGAATTTTGCATGTTTTCATTACTATAGTGATTATGTATTATTTCAATGAATGCATTTTACCGTATTTGTTGTGCATGTAAAAAAATAATTAAATTACAGTTATGACATATGGCAAAGTTAGAAAATACATTTCTATGCTCTACTAGAAATAATGTTTAAATACTTAAACATTTCTTGTAGTAGAGTTGTATTGTAATTATTATTATTACTATAAGTTTTAATCAATTAATATAAATATACTAAATATACAATATTTAATACCATTGAGTATAAAGTGAAAGCTTGATGCATACTTGAATATTTGTTATAATGCTCTTATCTATATTAATTTAGGGCATACGTTCTTAAAATGAAAAGCTTAATAATGTTTTGATGATGATCCTGAATAATTTATAAGAGCATTTATGCATTTATAAGAGCTTCTTGGCTCCGAGTTTTTTAATGTGATCCGATATGCATGAAATTTTGAAATATAGATTCATTTCATCCTTAAGTTAACAAAAAAATGTTATATATTTTTTTTAAAACACCCCTATAATTTGTCTACTTAAATAATAATTTAAACTAAAGACTTTATAAACAGCCCTTAGTTCAGATAATCCAAATTTTTTAATGGAATTAAAAAGTTTTGAAGAAACTAAATTAAGATAATGATGACCATCATCAGAAACTGCTTGACTGTCACATTTAACCCTTATGTTATTAACCCCTGATTGTCACATGTAACCCGTTGCGTGATGTCGCCATCATTATTTTAATTTAATTTGTTTTATAATTAAACATTCTTTTTCACAAACATGGTTGTTGTTGTAATATTATTTTTTGCTACTTAAGAAGAGTAAATTCGGACTCGGTTGTGTTCCTATTTGTATTTTCTGGATGGAACCCTGTTAAAAAGTATTTTGTTTAAGGGGTAACGCCACTGTAACTTAAAAACGTGTTTTGTATCATTTTTTGGATGGAAGAAAAAGTAACTGCAACAGTGATATTACAAGTAATCATTTGTTGTACTTTTAAGTAACAAAATATTGAAGTATTGTGGAAAAATTAAAAACCACAGCCATTTTGTCGATATGCTTCTAATTGGAGGCGCTCTGCGATACGTAAAACAACTTCTGCAAATTTGGATCTAAAACAAGCGTACGGTTGTGCCACTTTTTTGATCTGCCATAATTTTGTTAAATTACCAATTAGCTGAAAGAAAAGTAAATTAAATGGCAATTTGGACATTTGTCTACGTGTAGATGCTGAAATACGATAATTAAAATAGAATAAAATCAAATCAAATCATACAAGCAAAGGTCGAGGGTTACAACTGTCTACACTCCAAGGACGGTTGTGACTATTCTACAATTATGTTAAAAATGTCTGTATAAACACCAAAATGGTTTATAGCGATTTTTATAGTCAGAAATATGTAACACAACACAACATATTCATTCAAACAAAGCTTATGGATATAATATAACAATATATAACAAAACATCATTTTTTGAACAAAGTTAACAAGAAATATTTATGATTTTTTTCTTGTATTGAATTTTCTATTTTTTTCTTCTTTGTATTTTGTCTTAGTTAGGTTAAATTTTTCTCTATCTGTCTAATCTTTACCCGAAAAGGATGAGACGCACAACCACATGTCGCAACTCAACGCCCACTTTTGAAAACAAATCGTTACGCTGTGCTAAATTATCTACGCAAAAACTAATTGCTGATAAACGGCATACTACCAATGTTAACCTTACACCAAAACAACAAAGTGATCTATCTGTATACAAGAAACATCTATCATTAAAAAAAATCGAACAAAGAAACTTTTTTGACTCTTTAAAAGCAATGCGGTAATAATCATCAAAATATACTGCATCTTTCTACATTTGACCCTATCATACATAAGAAATGAAATAATACCTGATCATATTATATATAAATACATTAGAAAATTTCTTGGTTTAGGTTTTTAGTCGGGAATACAGTCATAAAGATTTTTGCTTAGCTCATCTTTTCACTGACCTTAAATTTGAAGGTGGGATATTAGGTTTAGCTTATGTTGGTTCACCTAGAAGAAACTCTGTTGGTGGAATTTGCACACCAGGTACTAACACAACTCATTCCTATATATATATATATATATATATATATATATATATATATCTGTGTGTATCTGTAAATCATCCATTCTGATCATTTTTTATTGTAATTCAATTCAACTATTTCAATCAGTTCTTGGCAATTTATTAATTGTTTTTATTTCCATGTTTTATACTAATGTTAAATATATATATATATATATATATATATATATATACAGGGCCGGTCCTAGGGTCCTTGGCGCCCGCATGCAACTTTTTTTTTTCAAAATTAGATATAATCTAGAAGGGTATAAGATATATTGATTTTAAATTTATTTATTATTATCGATATCAATAAATAAAACAATCTCTATCATAATTTCACATTTTAGTAATATTCAATATGTAGTAAATTGTTTAAAGATTTAAGTTCAACTACCATAGCAAAAGAATTAATATTTTTGTTAGATTAAAGTTATAGAATTTAAGAAATGCATTTCAGAAATAGTATTTATTATTTTGATATAATGAGGCGATTCGGGAGTTGATTATAATCAAGTATTTTAAAATTGTATGTGCAATATTAATATTTAAAAAAACTAGCATTTAATTTCAAACATAACACTCGATCTAACATTTCATGTTGGATTTTTTAAATTTTAATTTAATTTAATTTTTCATCATTTACAATATCCAAAATATTCTCTTCATTGATATCGTAAGAGCCGTCATATTCAGAGTATCAGCTTGTTGTTTTAAAGTTAAATTTTTAACGTATTTTAGAACTATTGTTCAAAAACAATAAAAAATTGCATGCAAGGCAGGACCGGCCCTGTATATATATATATATATATATATATATATATATATATATATCTTGTAAGCATTTTTATATAGAACAGAATTATACGCAATTATGTGTATTTAACTATTAAAACTATTAATATATAATACTGATATTTTTGAGGTCTATTAAAACTATTAATATATAATACTGATATTTTTGAGGTCTATTGATTCAATTCAATTCAATTCTATTCAGATGCCTTCTGCATATTATTACTGTTGAGCATCTCTTTGTCAAGATTATAATTTATTTCCAAACTTATCATGCATTGAATATATATTAAATTTAATTTGTATCTAAATTAATAATTTTTAACAGAATATTTCAAGAATGGCTATACATTGTATCTGAATTCTGGATTAAGCAGCAGTAGGAATCATTATGGTCAAAGAGTGATAACGAGAGAAGCTGATTTAGTAACAGCCCATGAGTTTGGTCATAATTGGGGGTCGGAACATGATCCTGATATTCCCGAATGCTCTCCCTCAGCCAGTCAAGGCGGAAGCTTCTTGATGTATACCTATAGTGTTAGCGGCTACGACGTTAATAATAAAGTAAGTCATCATTTCGTTTATATTAGGTGAAGGAAAAAGAAATCCATTATTAACTTCCCGTAGGGTAAGTTATAGTAATCGTCCAAAAATCGAAATTGAACATTTTGCCATAATAATTTTAACTTTGCAATTCAGTTTATATAATTTTTATAAATATTAGACAATGTCCTTCATTTCAAATGCGATTGATTAAGTTTTGTTCATTTACTTTTCTGTATACATATATAAGTTACAGTATTTCTAATAATCTATTTAAAAATATTTAATATTTCATTTCGGGAAGTTCCAGCAATTTGCCTTAAGGCACTATGCCATACACAACTAGTTTTTTTTCATGAAATTGAAGGCTTTAATTACCATAGTTAGAATGATCTGATTTAGGTCAATTACCTGCCGTTTTGTTCGACAACTTATTACCATTGTGCTCTCTCTTAGAAGCCCTCGCCCCTATTGGACAAAAGTTGAGACAGTCGATTTTTACAAACCTCTTCTGAAATAAATTTTTTCAGCAAAACTGTTCTCCATGGTTTGCCATAATATTTAAAAACAATAATGTAATTAAAGTCATATTTCAAACTAGTAACTAGAAAACGAACGAACACGTTAACTCGGAGTATTTTCTAAAAGCAAATTTTCACAAATTAATAATATTTATAATTGAACTAGTTTCCGTAGGACTCTAATGGTTTTGTATGTTTATTAAAACCAAGCACTCTATCGTTATACCAAGCAAATCGTCTAATTTATATTTTAACAAACTTTGATAAATATTTAAAATTAAACTACTTGTCGTAAGGCCGTAATATAGTAAGTTCTGTAAGACCATGATATTTATCGCCAAAAAAAGTTCCATAAAAATCGGCTTAATTTTCACCTAAAAACAGCTCGGTAGATTTTCACCTAAAACTAATCAGTATCATTCTCAATTAATCTCTTTTGAACAGTTTTTGATTTTTTAAAATCGATTCGGTAGTATGAGCTTAAATGTGGACGAATGGTTTAACACTTTTTTTCCAAATTACAAAGAAACGGCTCGGTCGATCGTCGCACAAAACTGAGAAACGATAATTCTCATTGAGATATATGAAATGGTTTTTAGATTTCTGCAATCGGTTCAGGCGTTTCTGAGCAAACGTCGATGAAAGGTCTAATTTTGACAAATGCCAAAAAAAATTATACTAATTTTTGCAAACTTTGACGAATTTTTAAAGCTAAACGAGTTGTCGAAGGGCCGTAATACTTTAGTATGATCTAGAAGACGAAAAAATAATAATAAAAATCGACGAAAAAAAAATTTAGCACTTTATTACAAGAAAACGGCCCGACCGATCTCTACCAAAAACTAATCAGCACGATTCCCAACCAATATCTTTCGAACGGTTTTTGAATTTTCAAATCGATTCAGAATTGCAGGCTAAAACGTGGACGAAAATTTTTTCACTTTTTTGCGATTTATAAAGAAACGGCTTGACCGATCGTCGCACAAAACTGACCTAGTCCTCATCGAGACCATAGTGTCCTCAGCGAAACACATCGAAGGGCTTTTAAATTTTTGAAATCGGTCCGGCCGTTTTTTGAAAACGTCGGTTTACGGCAAAAAATCACACACGCGCGCACACACACACACACACATAAATACTTTTTCCAAATTTGGTCTCATTCGATCCAGAAGGCTTGAAACATCGAGAAAACATCAAATTAGCGAATCGGAATTACGCGAAGAAATGCAAACATTTTAATTTTCATTTTTTGACCCATCACTATATCTTACTCTACGGAAAGTTAACAATATGAGAAAGCCGAATAAAGTATTATGCATACGAAATCAATCATTGAATTCAATCTGAATTGAATAATTTTGAATAGTTTTTAATTATTGATCAATTTGAACACTTGCGGTATAAATGTTAGGTATAGAAAATTGTCTGAGTGTTGAAATCTCTATGCGTCATCTGGTCATTTTGACTACAAAATGGCAAATTTGCACTCTTTCCATGTTGAAAATATAAATTTTCGAGTTTCAAAATAAGTTGAGTTGATTGTATGATTGGTCGAAGTTAAATAACTGTATTTATCGAAATTATTGAAAATGGAAATTTTTTCCTAATTTTAGTTTAATCCACTCATTATTTTCCAGCGATTTTCTCCGTGCAGCTTGAGATCAATTCGAAAAGTACTTCAGGCTAAATCCGGTCGTTGTTTTTCGGAACCGGAAGAAAGCTTTTGTGGAAATTTGCGCGTTGAAGGCGAAGAGCAGTGCGATGCTGGTTTACTGGGAACGGAAGACAATGATATGTGTTGTGATAAAAATTGCAATCTTCGCAAAGACCCCGTCGCACGTTGCAGGTATTTATGCAAGTATTACTTGTATTGAATTTTGTTTCCAATATTCTTCAACGTCAATAGTTTTTTCATTACCTCATATATATCAAATCATAAAAAAATGTCTCGACAGATTATGTTACAATTCTTGGACATTTTATTCGAGAAACTGTCGATGAAATCAAAACTTAGGTTCACATACTTCAAGCGCATCCATACAATTTCAGAAGGACATGAAACGCCAAAAGAATATAAAATTATTAAACTGGATTTTTTGGTGATAATATAAACAATCTCATTTTTCCGAAAAGTTAAAAAAATCACAACTTTTTTTTAAATCTACGGTGTCAATTAAATCCCACTCATCAATTTTTTGTCGACACATGTGCACGAAGTTCGATACATGTGTAAACTAGAAAAAAAGTCCGGCTTTTGTTGAAATTTTAGAACAAATCCTCAATTATTCATCATCCATTATTGCTAAACTCCGTAACAATTAATAAAAATTATCTCTCATTTTCAGTATATATTTATAAGTATATATTTTTAAGCTTCGGATATTAGGTTGGTTTTTCGGATTAGTGCTAGCAATGATTTCGAGAAAGAACTTTAGTGCGCAGCCAACTTGTATAGGTGCCATTTCAACATTTTGAAAGCATTTTAGTCAGTCCAATTCTCATTTTTTTGACCTTGAATAGGTTCACCAGACTCACATTTTTTGTTGCCATACATTTTTGGCGCTGCTAAATATTTGTCAGACGCCAATTCATTTATTATTAATTTCCCGAAGGAGAAGTTTATGTTTTCATCAAAAAATCCGATTCGCTAATTTTATGTTTTCGACGATTTAAGCCATTCTGAATCGAATGAGACCAAATTTGGAGAAAGTATGCGTGTATGTGAACAAATTTTTTGCTATAAATCGAAATTTTCTCAAAAACGGCCGGACCGATTTCAAAAATTTAAAAGCCATTCGATGTATCTCGATGAGGACTAGCGTTTATCAATTTTGCGCGACGATCAGCCAAGCCGTTTCTTTGTAATTCGCAGAAAAGTGAAAAAAAAATTGTCCACGTTTTAGCCCACAATTCTGAATCGATTTTGAAAATTCAAAAACTGTTCGAAAGATATTGGTTGGGAATCGTGCTGATTAGTTTTTGGAAAAGATCGGTTTTCTTGTAATAAAGTGAAAAAAAATTTTTTTCGACGATTTTCATGTTATTTTTTTTTGACGGTAGATACCATAATCTTATCTTACTAAAATATTACGGCCCTACGACAAGTGGTTTAATTTTAAAAATTCTTCAAAGTTTGCAAAAACTAGCATCGTTTTTTCGGCATTTGTCAAAATTAGACCTTTCATCGACGTTTACTCAAAAATGTCGGAGCCGATTTCAGAAATTTAAGAGCCATTTGAGGTATCTCAATGAAAACTTTCGTTTGTCAGTTTTTTGCGACGATCCGCAAAGCTGTTTCTTTGTAATTTGGAAAAAAGTGTTAAACTTTTCGTCCACATTTAAGCTCATACTACCGAATCGATTTTAAACAATCTAAAACTGTTTGAAAGCTATTAGTTGGGAATGATACTGATTAGGTTTAGGTGAAAATCTACCGAGCCGTTTTCTTATAATTAACTGTTGAAAAAAAAAATTAAGCCGATTTTTATGGAACTATTTTAGACGATATATATCATTATGAACTTTCTGAAATATTACTGCTTTACGACAAGTAGTTTAATTTAAAAAAAATCATCAAAGGTTAAGAAAATGAGTAGTTTTTTTGACGTTTGTTAAAATTAAAATGAGACGATTTGCTTGGTATAACGATAGAGTACTTATTGTTAGTCTTAATATAATGAACATACTAAAATTCGAAAATTTGCTTTTTGAAAATACTCCGAGTTAACGTGTTCGTTCGTTTTCAATTATGTGTAATAAATTCACTCGGAATACTTTTAATCACTCATAAATTGTTTTTTTTTTATTGATTAAGTCGATTATTTACACATATCGGGAAGTTCATATAACTTGCCTCAAGGCAAAATACCAATACTAGTGGTGTATGGCATCGTGCCTTAAGGCAAATTGCTGGAACTTTCCGTGCCAAAAATTATTTACATCCATTTTTTCTAAGGTATGCCAAAATATTCAGAAACCCTTGCAATATAAAGATATATAAAAAAATTATTTTGGATTTGTTTGCGGTTACTATAAATTACCCTACTACTAATCAAAGTTCTAATTTTGACAAATACCAAAAAAACGAAACCAATTTTTGCAAACTTTGACGAATTTTTAAAGTTAAACGAGTTGTCGTAGGGCCGTAATATTTTAGTATGATCTAGAAGACTATGGTATCTATCGTCAAAAAAATAATAATAAAAATCGTCGAAATAAATTTTTATCACTTTATTACAAAAAAGGGCCCGGCCGACGTCTACCAAAAACTAACCAGCACGATTCCCAACCAATATCTTTCGAACGGTTTTTGAATTTTTAAACGATTCAGAATTGCGGGCTAAAACGTGGACGAAAAATTTTTCACTTTTCTGCGATTTACAAAGAAACGGCTCGGCCGATCGTAGCGCGAAACTGACAAACGATAGTCCTCATCGAGATACATCTATGGAAGCGTGGTCCATATTGTAGAAATAATAAATTCCACTAAATATTATGTTTTATACTCGGTTTATTTTATGTATGATTAGTATTGACAACACTATGTGTAATCATATTGATCATTTATAAAATATAGGTGGTATTTGTGTATTTACAATTAAAAAAGGAAAAGTTTTAAGAATTATAAATTTTCGCAATGAGACTAGGGAGAAACAATAGAGAGATCCGAACTGACACTTGCACTATTTTTGTTTCCTCCGTGCTGTCACTATGATGAGCCTATCTGTCCAGTAGAAATGCGATGCGTGTTGACAGGCCGCTACACATCGAATGGCTTTTAAATTTTTGAAATCGGTCCAGCCGTTTTGAGAAAACGTGGATTTACGGCAAAAAATCTGTTCACATACACACACACGTACTTTTTCCAAATTTGGTCTCATTTGATTCAGAATGGCTTCAAACGTCGAGAAAACATAAAATTAGCGAATCGGATTTTTTGATGAAAACATAAGTAATAACCCAAACATAACTTTGGGAAGTTAATAGCATATAAAATACACTAAAATAAAATATAAATAGATACATTGCGCCCGATTCTGTGCATATTTGGACAGCGCCCGACGGAGCGTTAAGAGTTTTGACATTATAATGGTAATGTTAAAAATTATCATAATTTCATTTTCTATACAGTGATAAAAACTCGCCATGTTGCCAGAATTGTCAATATATGCCAGCCGGCGTGAAATGTCGCGAGGCACAATACGCCACATGCGAACAAGAATCACGTTGCACGGGTACATCATCTGAGTGTCCACGTTCTCCTCCCATGATGGATGGTACCGGCTGTTTGGAGCGTGGAAAATGCCAAAGCGGGAAATGCATTCCATACTGCGAAACACAAGCATTACAAAGTTGCATGTGCGATATCAGTGAGTATACAAAATTTTTAATACATTTTATTGTTTATTGGTGATTGTTATTTTGTTTATTTAAATCATTTGTATGCGATAAGTTAAATCAAGATTAGAAACGTTTACGAGTTTAATTAATCACAGTCCATTAGGGTAGGGCGGAGCTAGTTGAGCAAGTTTTTACTTAATTTACTTAAACGGTACTTTTACTAGTACTTAATTTACTTACTTTTACTTAATTTACTTAAACGGATGTAGCTCCTCAATGAAAAGTCTCAATAAATTCCTATACGGCTTAATGGATTTGTTGTTTATGGCTTAACACAAGTGTTAATACTATTTTTTGGTAATAAGTAAAATTTAAAAGCTACAGCTGTTTAAATTGCAAAAAGTCAAGTATGCTCAATGTACCCCATAGATAGGGCTAGTTGAGCACCGAGAAAGTGTAATGAAATCATAGGATCAATGTCGATTAGTGATGAAATCAAATAAGTTTTTAACAACCAGTTCTATATTTATAGTCTTTATTGACAGAGAAAACAAAACTTATAGTAATTTTCTTTGAATAATTAACCAAAAGTAGAATCAACCGTATCTTAGGAATTGTTTTACCATTATATTCAGTATTTTTTTTAAAATCATTATTTCTTTATATTATTACTCAGAGAGTAATTTAAATCTAAAAATTAATTTCTGGAAGTTAATGGTAATTGTCTTAGTGACAGAACAAGTTTAGCAACTATGCTCAACTAACCCCAACTCGGAATTTCAAAATAAAAGTGAGTTTATAAAAAAAACGGTGAGAATTATACCCAGAATCTCTGTACATATTAAAAGTACTACAATCATATGGAAAAATAACATTTACCTGATTAAAAATAAATGACATTTGACTAAACCAGACGAAAACTCGTGATGAATTACTTTTTTACGTTTTGGTCTCAAAATAAACAAAACGCCATTGAGCCTCAGTCATTTGTCCAGCGGCCACTAGCGATTGCGGGATGTTTATTTCTCCCAAACCTCTATCTTTCCGCCATATAATGCCTAAACGGCGAATAGTTTTCGAGATATTTCGATTGCTCAACTTGCCCCTATGCTCAACTAGCCCCGCCCTACCCTATCAATATTTATGAAAAACTAATAATTGTTTATTAAAACTAGCAAACCGGGCGAACTCCATTTCACCACCAGATGATTTCATTTTATGTAACATTTCGTTTGGTGATTAAAAGATGAAGAAAAAAATTGACTGCTGTTGAAATTGAATAAAACTTTGCACAATATACATGATTGATATGATGGTTTCCAATTGAAATGTTAGGAAACGGATAACTTACTTTTTTTACTTTTTTGCACGATTTCACAGTGAACACAATGCCGGTTTGTCACATGAAATTAACTGAGCAGAGAACAATGAGTAGCTGTCAAACAAATGAGTAGCAGTCAAATAAAAAATATTAGTTTGTAGTACATGCTACGTATCAGAGATGACGCCGTATGTAAAAAAAGAAAAAATGTTTTCTGCTTTTCTGTTGGAATTTTTCTTCAATTTTCTTAGCTATAAACCGTGCGGAGCCCGAAACCTTTCCAACGAATGCAAAATTGTCGAAATCGGTTCGTGCGTTATGGAGTTATATCGTCAGGAAGGAAAACTCGACTTATTTTTATATAATAGATATGTCAACTCACAAAAACACACGCAAATATGTATCTATATTTTTGAGTTTTCGAAATATCCGCTCTTTGCTCGTATAACAGCAGCGTATATTCCGGGCATTTTTTCGATCAATGTATGCTTCCGCCGTTATTTTGTTCCAACGATTCGGTAGGCATAGATAAATAAGCATAATGTCGGTAGGAACGTTCAAAGCTGTTTCGTATTAGTTGGTTGCAATTTTCTTACTTTCCTGTCCAACTTGTCCCACAGCAACTCATCCGGCGACTGAGGAGGACAAATTTTTGTCGATGATTTTGAGAATACGGATCATCCGATTTGAATTATTTAAAAAACATTCGATTCGTATTGATAAGGATTCGTGTTGATTAGTTTCTGGCAAAAAAAAAACAAAAATGGTAATTCAGTTGTTGGGAGAACGCAATGTCCGATTTGAATAATTCAGAAATCATTTTTTTTATATTGAATAAACGAAAAACTGTTCAAATTACAATAAAAAATAGTATAAAACATGCTATTTGGCGGTCAAAAATGATCATTAGACATATGCACATTAAAGTATCAGATATTTTATAGAGATTTTAATAATGTGTACACATTTTGTGTAAATTTTTATGGGTTCCGTACCAAGATTTTTAATTTTGAAGTTCACCTATATGGTTCAAACAAATGTTGGTTAGTTTTTTTGATACGATTGGCTGAACCGTTTCTTTGTAATTGGCAAAAAAGTGAAAAAAAAATCGTCCATGTTTTAGATATTTTTTGGTATTTGGGCAAAGTTTTGAACAAAGATCGGCCGAGCCGTTTCTTCGTATTTAACTGTTGAAAAAACGTGACAAGTCATCAGAGTTTGAGAAATTTAGTAGCGCTTTTTTGGCGTCTTTCAAAATTTGACCTTCTATCGACGTTTTCTTAAAATCGTCTGAACCGTTTTCAAGAATTTAAAAGTCCTCTTCGTGTTTGGGCCGATAACCCTGCGACGACTCTGAGGGATCCTATTCGTGTTTGGACCGATAACTATGCGACGCCTCTGAGGCGTCTTATTTGTTTTTGAGCCGAATCCCTTGCGACGCTGCTGAGGCGTCATTGTAAGCTAAGGGGTTAATGGTTGAATTTTTTTTTTCAAAAATATTACGTCGACAACTCGTTAATTTTAAAAATTTGTAGAAAAATATGATACTCAAAATTTGTGACAAAATCCTCTTTTTTGATGTGATGAGTAAAAATTAGAATATCACAAATTTAAAAGCCTTTGGAATAATTTCGAGAAGGAGGAGCCGCGATTAGATTTGCGAGAAAATCGGCCAAGTCATTAGAAATTAGAAATGGCTTTGGAATTAGTAAAATATTTAGTGAGCTGTCTCTAGCTGTGTCAAAAATATTACCATTAACTAAATCATTAAACAATATCAATGACTACGCACATGATTTATGTAATCGTGCAGTTGAAAATTTTATAGAAAAATCTAAATCTCAATTTCGGTTGATTAAGTCAATTATAATACATTTCGGGAAGTTTATGTAACTTGCCTTAAAGAAAAATGCCACTCTCAACTAGTTCTAAAAAACTTCATCTGTTCATGGGGAAAATTTACCCAATGTCTAATTTTTAATTAGAAGTGATTTTCCGAAGTAAAAGCTATATTATTTGGCTAATGCTAAATACCAACTTCATTGACAAATTTTTACAAAGATTATACCTAAATATTCATGAGCAAAGTTAGAACAACTACCTATTTAATTTATCTCTTGTAAAATTCATTTTTTAACTTAATATACCTTTATTTACTTATTTTTCCCATTTACTATTTTCTTATTTTTCACATCTTTGCCTGCGTATGTTGGTTCTTTTCACCCCAGCCCCATGTAATTTTTTATAGATGTTATATAAAAAATCTTTCGTATCTAAGGTAAAAATATCAATGCATATCAGAAAACAATTAAATACCGTAAATTAAAGTAGACCTTTAAACTCCGCTCCACCCTATATTTACATTAATTTTTATATGAATATTTACCATTCAATTTCGTAGTATCTATTAAAAAAGTAGTAAAAAAATAAAGAAAAAGTCTTCAAAAAATTCGAAAGATTGTCGGGGGTGATCAACCCGTAAAAAAAAAATAAAAAATAAAACCTGCAATAAAAAATTAAGCACTTTCATTGAATTGAAAAATCTGAATCAGGGTTCAGTAAAAAATGTTTTCTGAAATAAATCGAGAATAAAAATAATATAATTACTATACTAAATTTCCTTACAAAATAGAGGTTTCTGATGAGAGGATGAAAATTTAGAGTAATTTATACACGCACAAAAATAACAGATGATTTGTTATGCTTATAAGATTACATATGAATCCATTAATAACTTGCTAATAATTTAACTTTTGTTAAAAAAATTAAAATAATTATTTCATATTTTATTATTTAGTTGGAGACGCTTGTAAACGTTGTTGCAGGATGAGTATGAACGAAACATGTTTTCCTGTTGATCCACAAGATATTTTGCCAGATGGTACACCTTGTATTCAAGGCTTTTGTAATAAGGTATTGTAAAATTGATTGAGAATTATATATATATATATATATATATATACATATATATATATATATATACATATATAACAAAGTCTAATAATCGGCCATGACATCAATAAAATCATAAACTTTTTAATTCATATTTGATGCACATATAAAAACATAGACTTTTTAACATACATCTATCCAGATAATAAATAGAGAGAAAACTAAGATATGCTTCTTAAAATAAATTTAACAGATCCATACGTTTCGAGTTCCAATTTGACTCTTCATCAGTAGAAACAAAACATGCAAGTAATTAAAACATTAAACACAAACAAAAACATTTCAAAGAAATTAGTACTTTGCAAAGAAACATGTTAGGGAGAAATATGAATTACTTATACTTCGAAAAAAATAATATATTCAAAAGTCATATCTAGGAGAATTCAATACGAATGCCAACATTCATGCTTTGTATTTAATTTCGATATTCGTATTTCCTTCTTTTAGATATGTACATCCTAGACTTCATTCTAGTGGAATATTCTGTCAATTACAATAATTAAACTAACAATAAGTAAATAATTTGTAATATTTTAAGAAAAAAATAATAGTAATGATAATTTAGTAAGAAGAACGTTATGATCAATTTTGACAAAAGCTTTATTGTAATCAGTGTAAATAACATCAACTTGTCCATTAGTGTTTCAGCTAGAAATTGTTTTATGGAAATAAACATATAAAAAAGATATTTCCATGTATAAAAATATATATTAAATTTTGTTGATTATCAAACTTTACAAAATGTCATGATCATATTTCTCTCAAATTCATAGCTCACTTGATTTCCATATATATCTAAACAAAAGCTCTTTTTTATCGGAGAATCTAGCCAAAACCTGAGTAAGCGCCTTCATCAACACAAAAATAATTAAAACTAGTTGGTTTGGTATTTAGCCTTGAGGCAAATTACATGAACTTCCCGATATGTGTAAATAATCGACTTGATCAAAAAAATGTGTAAATAATATACTTCATCAATCCTACTTTAAAAAAAACGATAATAATTTTAGCAAAGTTTGACGAATTTTTAAAATTAAACTACTTGTCGTAAGGCCGTAATATTACAATAAGTTCTATAAGACCATGATGTATATCGCCAAAAAAAGTTCCACGAAAAACGGCTTGATTTTTTTTTTTAACAGTTAATTACAAGAAAACGGCTCGGTAGATTTTCACCTAAAATTAATCAGTACCATTCCCATCTAATATCTTTCGAACAGTTTTTGATTTTTTAAAATCGGTTCGGTAGGATGGGCTTAAATGTGGACGAAAATTTAACACTTTTTTTCAACAGTTAATTACAAGAAAACGGCTCGGTAGATTTTCACCTAAAATTAATCAGTACCATTCCCATCTAATATCTTTCGAACAGTTTTTGATTTTTTAAAATCGGTTCGGTAGGATGGGCTTAAATGTGGACGAAAATTTAACACTTTTTTTCAACAGTTAATTACAAGAAAACGGCTCGGTAGATTTTCACCTAAAATTAATCAGCATCATTCCCAAATGATATCTTTCGAACAGTTTTTGATTTTTCAAAATCGATTCGGTAGGATGAGCTTAAATGTGGACGAAAATTTAACACTTTTTTTCAACAGTTAATTACAAGAAAACGGCTCGGTAGATTTTCACCTAAAATTAATCAGCATCATTCCCAAATGATATCTTTCGAACAGTTTTTGATTTTTTAAAATCGGTTCGGTAGGATGAGCTTAAATGTGGACGAAAATTTAACACTTTTTTTCAACAGTTAATTACAAGAAAACGGCTCGGTAGATTTTCACCTAAAATTAATCAGCATCATTCCCAAATGATATCTTTCGAACAGTTTTTGATTTTTTAAAATCGGTTCGGTAGGATGAGCTTAAATGTGGACGAAAATTTAACACTTTTTTTCAACAGTTAATTACAAGAAAACGGCTCGGTAGATTTTCACCTAAAACTAATCAGTATTATTCCCAACTAATATCTTTCGAACAGTTTTTGATTTTTTAAAATCGGTTCGGTAGGATGAGCTTAAATGTGGACGAAAAGTTCAACACTTTTTTTCAAATTACAAAGAAACGGCTTGGCAGATCGTTGCACAAAACTGACAAACAATAGTCCTCACCGAAATACATCAAATGGCTTTTAAATTTCTAAAATCGGTTCAGGCGTTTTTGAGAAAACGTCGATCAAAAGTCTAATTTTGACAAATGCCAAAAAGACCATACTGATTTTTGCAAACTTTGACGAATTTTTAAAGCTGAACCAGTTGTCGTAGGGCCGTAATGTTTTAGTATGACCTAGAAAACTATGGTATCTATCGTCAAAAAAATAATCATAAAAATCGTCAAAATTTTTTTTTTAAAAACTTTATTACAAGAAAACGGCCCGGCCGATCTTTACCAAAAACTAATCAGCACGATTCCCAACCAATATCTATCGAACGGTTTTTGAATTTTCAGAATCGATTCAGAATTGCGGGCTAAAACGTGGACGAAAAATTTTTCACTTTTCTGCAATTTACAAAGAAACGGCCCGGCCGATCACCGCACAAAACTGAGAGACGATAGTCCTCATCGAGATACATCAAATGGCTTTTAAATTTTTGAAATCGGTCCAACCGTTTTAGAGAAAACGTCGATTTACGGCAAAAAATCTGTTCACACACACACACACACATACACACACACACACACACACATACACATACACACACACACACATACTTTTTCCAAATTTGGTCTCATTCGATTCAGAATGGCTCGAAACGTCGAGAAAACATAAAATTAGCGATTCGGATTTTTTGATGAAAACATAAACTTCTCCTTCGGGAAGTTAAAAATCTCAAACAATTCAAAACCATGTTAACCGAACATATAAATAATTTAAATCATAATATAGATTTTTTCAACCCAAAAATTTTACATTCTGAAGACAACGTAATTAAAAGAAGATTCGAGGGGTTGTTTTTGCAATTGCATAACGACAGAGTCATAAACAAACGATTTGACAATGCAGCCCTGAACGAAACAAACACGTGATTCCTAAATAGTGTGTCGAATTTCTGAAGAAACGACCATCGCTTTTTAAATTTCTCGTAAAATTTGAACACATGTTAAAAACTGCTTCAAGAAAAAATGTGGCATTTCTATCTTAAACTCCGTACAGTAAATACATAGTTTCGACAACTTTTTATGTCATCATGTTTATTTGTGTGTTTTACCTTCTGGGATTGATGTTTTCATAAGTTATATTAGGATATAAAATTATAAGTGTTTTATTATTATTATTATTATTTTTCCTATGAAATTTCTTACATATTATTTATTTAGTTTTAATTTTTATAGTTAAATTGATTGCCACTGAATGAAGGCTAAGATGCTAGCCGAAACGTATGAATTTTAAATAAATCTCTAGAAACTCTCATACTATTTTTATTGATGTAACGACCGACTTTTTAACTCAAATTAAATATATCATATCAACATCAAATTCAAGACTAAATATATATTCCAGGGACTATGTGAAAAAACGGTACAAGATGTTGTTGAACGCTTTTGGGACATAATAGAAGATATAAACATAAATAAAGTGCTACTGTTCTTGAGGGATAATATAGTTGGAACAGTGATACTAGTCACAGCTTTAATTTGGCTTCCAGCAAGTTGTGTTGTTACATATATTGACAGAAGAAAACGTAGAATGGAGGAAAAAGAATTTGATTGGAGTCAAAGGCAAGATCTTGTGCATCCATCAGATCATAGACGAATTATACAAGTTCGGTAAGTATTCATTTTTTAACTTTTCAAAGAAGACGTTAATCGTAATTAGTAAGTGTAGTATTTACAGCATATGTAATAAAAATCTGACTTTAAAGATGATAGAAAGAGTAGGAAAGTGAAAGGACTAAAACAGTTCTATTATGAAGAATAATCGCAATTACATATAAAATAAATATAGAACATTATTTAGCAACGTACATAATCATTTTAAGAAATTAAGGGGAATACCCAAGATTTGCCTTAAATAGTAATTTTTTTCTGAGTTTGTAATTTGAACGAAGTCGTTTATTTCATTCGATTTTAACGGAATGAGATCTTGTGATAAACTAATTCATAACTTCCCGTAGGGTAAGTTATGGTAATCAACTTGTTTGAGGTTTCTGGGCATTTTGGCATACTCCAGAAAAATTGGTGTGTGTATGTATGTATGTGTGAATACAATTTTTCGTCGAGGTTTTTGGGTGTACCGCACATGTTTGATTCAAAAAGCATTTGATTTTCGATCCCTACTTATGGGGATTAGTGCTAGGGATTATCGGTTTTCAAAAGCCGGTTTTTGAAAACCGACAAACCTTAGTTGTGATTAATTTTTGGCAAGGACAGGCCAAAATTCACAGATAAGGAGCTAATAGTGTAAAAATTGCAGTTGCACAAAATATCCGATTCGAACGATTCAAAAAACATTTTGCTTGTGAAGAAATTATTTGTTTTTAGGGAAAACAATAAAAATTTATTTCAAAATTTCGATTTTTTACTTCCCGAAGGAGAAGTTAATGTTTTTGTCAAAAAATCCGATTTGCTAATTTCATGTTTTCTCGACGTTTCAAGCCATTCTGAATCGAATGAGACCAAATTTGGAAAAAGTATGTGTGTGTGTGAACAGATTTTTTGCCGTAAATCGGCGTTTTCTCAAAAACGGATGGACCGATTTCAAAAATTTAAAAGGCATTCGATGTATCCCGATGAGGACTATTGTTTGCCAGTTTTGTGCGACGATTGGTCAAGCCGTTTCTTTAAAAATCGCAGAAAAGTGAAAAAATTTTCGTCTACGTTTCAGCCCGCAATCCTGAATTCATTTTGAAAATTCAAAAACCGTTCGAAAGATATTGGTTGGGAATCGTGCTGATTAATTTTTGGTACAGATCGGCTGGGCCGTTTTCTTGTAATAAAGTTTTTAAACAAAAATTCGACAATTTTTATGATTATTTTTTTGACGGTAGTTACTATAGTCTTCTAGATCATACTAAAATATTATGGCCCTACGACAACTCGTTTAGCTTTTCGTCAAAGCTTGCAAAAATTAGTATGGTCTTTTTGGCATTTGTCAAAATTAGAACTTTCATCGAGGTTTGCTCAAAAACGCCTGAACCGATTCCAGAAATTTAAAAACCATTTGATGTATCTCGATGAGGATTAACGTTTCTCAGTTTTGAATGACGATCGGCCGAGCCGTTTTTTTGTAATTTGAAAAAAAGTGTTGAACTTTAACTGTTTTTCACAATCTCTCATACCAGGTACCTCTGTCTGACTGAGATATGAAAATAATGTATATATGTAAGTAAATAAAAAAAAAAAAAACTTTTCGTCCACATTTATGCTCATACTACCGAATCTATTTAAAAAAATCAAAAACTGTTCGAAAGATATTAGTTAGGAATGATTTTGATTAGTTTTAGGTGAAAATCTACCGAGCCGTTTTTTTGAAATTAACTGTTGAAAAAAAAATTTAAGCTGATTTTCATGGAACTTTTTTTGGCGATATATATCATGGTCCTATAGAACTTACTGAAATATTAAGGCCTTGCGACAAGTAGTTTAATTTTAAAAATTCATCAAAGTTTGAGAAAATGAGTAGTTCTTTAGACATTTGTTAATATTAAAATTTAACGATTTACTTGGTATAACGATAGATAGAGTAACTCTTAATAAACATTAAAGTTCTACAAAAAAACTGGCTCAATTATAAAAATTATTGATTTTTGAAAATTTGCTTTTAAAAAATATTTCGACCGGGTTGACGTGTTCGATTTTTAATAATGTGTAATAAATCCACTTCGAATACTTTTAACTACTCATGTAACATTCTATATTTAATTAGTATTAGTCATGCAACAATTATCATTGTAACAAACATACGTAATGTATTTACAAACATTCGTAATATATTTACAAGCATTCGAAATGTATTTACAAAACATTCGTAATATATTTTCAAACATTCGAAATGTATTTACAAAACATTTCGTAATATATTTACAAAATTCGCTGTACGTAAATATTTTGTCAACAACGCACGAGCATACGCGTGACGTCACCAAAGTGAAAGTTTACACACACAGCTATAAGCGAAGGGTCCTACGCGGAAGCAAGATGCAGCATACAATAGCGCAGGTACAACAAGGATAGAAGATTCTACTACGACTACTCACTATACCGTTAGACCTCAGGCGTACGGACAGAAAGGGATGAAGAACTTATGCAATCTGCGTCATCCGTGTAAGCAAGCGATAAGATGCCTTAATCATACGAGTCAGGATAAGTTAAAGAAAGATAAAAGATTAAGACGATAATACATGCAACTTTGCCCTGTGACTCAAGCGAGGGTGTGAGAAAGATAATCATATGTACACATTCCACAACACCGAAGGAGAAATTTGTCATAGCCAATTATCGATGACCTCAAGCGAGATGAGTTCATCATAGACCAATGACCATCTCATCCCCGAAGATTTTGGCGAGATGAACCGACGAAGAACCCCGAAACGATGCGAAGGAGCTCTCGGACGGACACGAAGGAACCACCACCCTCACCAAAATTCAACCCCACTACGGGAGTAGGAGAAGAAGGAATCGTATAAAAAGCCTAGCAGAATCCGAAAAATTGTCAAAAGTGTTTAGTTCGCCCGCGGCTAAAAGCTTTATGGTTATGATATTTCTCACTGAAATTGTTAACTAGTTGTTACTCAACCCTGACCATCACTTGGGACTTCAATCTAGTATTGAAGTTACAAACGGTCCGGTAAAGTTGTTGTAAAGAATTTTCTCTGAGTTCTTACAACCTGACGCCCGAATCATTTTGCTCTCTCTCCGAGCCGAATTGATTCACCATCCAACGCGCTATTTCTAAGTTAATTCAGTGTCTGTATTATTTTATCGCATTTCTGTGAACCCACGAACAATTTTAATAAAGTTAATAGTTTTATAATTGTGTGTTTCTCATTTTAATAATAAAACCGTTACAAAACTGGCGCCCAACCGAGTGACCAGAAGCGATATGGCAGTCACGATGACCGAAGAAATGCTACAACGTTTGATGGGAGCTATTGGTACGCAAGCAAGCGTACGGACGGATCTGACGGCAGGCAGTTTCTCAAGATGCACGGCCAGATTCAACGGATCGAGGAATTCCGAGAAGGTCCAGGAATTCACGACGACGATTGCCCTGTACAAGGATATAGAGGGTATATCAGACGAGATGGCTCTGCGAGGTTTGCCACTACTGCTTCAAGACACAGCAGCTACGTGGTGGGAAGGCGTAAAAACGGAGGCAAGTACCTTTGACGACGCAATCCGTCTACTAAAGTCTTCGTTTGTCCCTAGTAAACCTCCACACAGCATCTTCATTGAATTTTTCGGAACACGTCAAGACAGAACCACAAGCACAGACTTATTCGTCTGTCAGAAGAGGGCTCTGTTAGCCCAACTACCGTATGAGATGCCACTCAACGCACAGATCGACATGCTCTATGGACTTTTGAATATGAGAATCCGTGAGCGTGTTGCACGGACTGCTGTGACGACTTTTGACGAGCTGCTACAGAAGGCACGCGCCATCGAAGCAATCCTTTTAGAAGCGGGAAAAGGAGACAGCAGTACCACGGAAAAGAAGAAGAGTTGCGCTTTCTGCGGCAACATTGGCCACACCATTAGCGAATGTCGAAAGAGGCAGAAAACCCTGCAGGTACCGAAGAAGGAGGAACCGGAAACCCGTGTCGAGCCACGAATCTCGTGCTACGGATGCGGTAAGGCAGGTGTAATAAGAAGCAAGTGTCCAGTCTGCACGGCCACACCAGTACAACAGGCGACAGCGGCGCTTGAGTGCGGATTCTTCGCACTAACCACGGAGGAAATCCAGAGGTGCAATTACTGCAAAAAGAGGGGACACATCAAACAGAACTGCAAAAAGCGACTGGCCTGGATAGCTAAGAAGAATTGGACCACCCCAGCACCTACTCCAGCTCCAGCTCCAGCTCCAGCTTCAGCTCCAACCCCAGTCCCAGCCGAACCTGTACAGCAAGTGCGAGAACTTCATCCGAGACCGGTGATCAGGACCCAGGTACAAGGCGTAGTAGGATACGCTTTCATAGATACTGGCGCAGAATCATCGATAGCGGGGCATGCGCTGTATCAACTGCTGAAATCCACGGGACACCGCTTCGATCAAATATTGATGAACTTGACGATGGCCGACGGAGAATCAAAATTATCGCAAGTCCTAAGAACTACGACGATTGTGCGTCTCGAGAACCGACCTATACCGACTCAATTCATTGTCATACCAGGGGCAACAAACGGTCGTACTCTATTGGGTATAGACTTCTTGCAGAAAGCCGGCTTGGTGCTGGATCTGAAGAACCGCACGTGGAATTTTGAAGACCACCCACAAAAGTATTACTTCGCACCACGGGAAGAGGTTACACAGGCGATGCAAACCCAGAGAACCATAGCTGCCAACCAAGCTACGATTACGGCCACCCCTCACGTAGAAGAAGAAATGGAAACAAATGATACGGACGACCAACTGATGCTGGACACATTGTTTGATGCCTGCTTTAGAGCAGCTGCACCACAGGAAGAAAATAACGATCGACATACGCTGGACTCGCTATTTGACGCATGCTTCCGTACAGCTGAATCCGTACCTACAATACATATAGCTTCGTTGGAATTACGCGAACATGAAGCCCACCCGGTTCCTGAGGAAGAACGGTATCAAGTCA